GGGGGGGAGTGAGTGAACATCTGTGTGGTGCTTAGTTGCTGGCTGGGCTTAAACCACAACAGACACTGATTATCAGTCTTTACTTCTGAAGTAAACAATTATTCTATTCATTCTTAATTTCTTTAAAGAACTTTGAAAATTTTTAGAAGACAGAAAAAAAATAGAGAAATTAGCACAGCAGATACAGCCGTACTGATACCAACTTAGAAAACTGAGTGAGTGTCCATAATTTTACAAGGTTCAACTATGCCAAAACAATTTAATAAAATTTTAACAGTTATGTCAAGTTAAGGTATATTTTTAAGTACTTGTCTGGCTCAGACCAAGAGTTTTCTGGATTATTTCACTGTCTGCTACTTCAGTGCTGTGGGGGCAGGCAAAAAGACAAGCATGCCTCAAGCTGTGAGGAGGGGAATCTTTCTGCAGACCTTCATTAACTTCCTGAGGTATACAGACTGTTTGGTGTCACTTTATCAAATGTTTTTTATTTATTTCACCAGTGCTTTGGTGACTAAAACAATAACTTCTTCCATGGAATCATAGTGGCCTAATGACATTTTTACAGTGTTCAGAATGACCCTTTTACCCTTGCTGGTCCTTTTTCCTACTGATGGTAAAGGAGAAGTTTGTGTTTTGTTCATAGGTCAACCTCAGAGCTCCTTCAATTTCATTTTCGGTCAGGACTTCTTGAATTGTCACCTGTGGAGGGGTGTGGAAGTAAACAAATCACATACCATAGCTTCTACTCAGCATCTCACCTAAACTGAGCACAATCTCTTGACTGACTTAAAACCATTATCTGGACTGAAGTTTATCTTCCAGACAGGCCTTCTAGATGCTTTCTAGACCTAAACCAAAAGCATCAAGACATGTCTTCCTTTTTTGATGTGTTTCCATAGCTACTCATTTGCATTATTGACAGATATTAGCCTTACTTTCAATGTACCCTCATCTGGTTTATGTTTAGAGACACTGGTTCTTACTTATGTCTTCTCCACTCTTCTTTTTCGTATACTGTAAAGAAACAGCCTTTCCTTCTTTTGTTGATGAAACAGATGGAGCTCCACAAATCTTTTTACTCCAGGGTATTTTCTTCCTCCCACAGCTGCTAGCTCATCTACAGCTTTATCCTGAAACTGCTAAAGAATCCCTCTGGGGAAGATGAACACCATCTCCCACACTTAAATAACAACACATGTTGTGTTTGCCAAAGTCTGTGGGAACAGAGGTCCATGATTACACTCATACCTTATACATGAATAATACACCTAAAGAATTACCATTTCTGTTTTTCTTTTTTTCACTCAAACATTTATAGGATAAAACACATTTCACTAAAGATTAAGGGGGAAGAAGAGGATATATCTAATACCTTTTAATAAAATATTAGCATTAAATATTCCCTTGAAACACTGATACTTACTATGCAGGTTTAATATTGATCTAACATCTATTTTCAGAGAAGTCTACCTTTAATCTTGTATCCTAGCTACATATCCTCTTACTTGAAGAGAAGGTGATGGATGACTTGGATGTGCTGTTCTGCGTACTACCCTCCAAAAGGGAAGGAGACATTTCAACTAATGCTTCTTTCTCCCAAGGGATGAGCAGGTACAGCCTTTGCTGATCCTATCAAGTAGTTTGGAATACAAATCTATTTCTGTTTATTCAACACTGAAACATTTTAGGTATCTATGCTACAAATGGTTTAACCAAGCCAAGGAATTCTCTAGGTATGAAGGACAGCTGTTTTCTACTAAAAGTCCTTTCTACTTTAGTAAGCCGTATCAGCTAGGAAGTGACAGTAAATGAGTGCCTTCCTGAAATGATTAATCCTGAAGTCGGGGATTTCAGGTACCTGCTGAGCTTCCTCAGAAACAGACCATTAGCTGTGTACTTAAGTTAAACAAGGATTCAGATAAACTGGGCCAAGTACCTCTCATCTGCACTTGTATAAACCTGGAGTAATTTTCCTGAGGCCACTGGAATTGCTCTGGATTCATGCTACTGTAAAACTCAGATGACACCTCTAATCAAAGCACAGCAAAAGAGCTACGCTTTGTTACCTTAAGAAAGAAGGGAAGTCCCAGATGATGGAGAAATGATATTGAATGCTTCACCTCTGCCATGAATTCAAATATACCACAGAGTTGAAAGTCTGTGTCAACATCCATAGTCACAGTTATATCTTTGTCATCATATTGGATTTCACAGATAGTCTTGGCTTTGGTTTCTAGCAAGAACAAAACAGTGCCATTTTGAGGGGCTCATTTTCAAGGTATTTCAGTGCTGCATGAATAAAATCAGTCCAGCCAGCTTTTGGGTTTGGGTTAAGACTTTCATCATGACAAAGCCATCCATTCAGGATGACAAGAGCTTTGGCCTGTGGTTGGAGGACTGCAGAGTTTTTTGGATGTCCTTGAACATACAATGTCTTGAGTCAACAGAGCTTGTGTACCCATGTACAAGTGTTAAGTAACAAGTCAATTCCCAACAGTAATGTGTTTTTGCAGCTAGAGCTGACTAGCTTATATAGCCAACTGTAGCACTTGGCAGATAGTAGCCACTTCTAGAGAAGAGCTCTGAGCTGTTTTGACCTTCAGTAACTCCTTCAGTTCCAGCTACAGCAGACAAACACTGCTCAAACAACATGACTTGAAGATTTTTCCCCCGCTTCCCTACCGGCTTTTCATATTTGAAAAAGAAAGTACAGACTGCTAAGAGATAAAAATGAGATGACAGATGTGAAACCCCAAAACTCTTTACAGAGAAGACAAAATCACAGACATGTATGCAACCATACAGCGACCACTCTGGTGGCTATCCTGAAAGCCGCCTGTTGTCCTGTTGCTTTCTCCAGAATGGGTGAAAGGAGATAGTGCCACTAACATTAGTATTGATTCAGTGCCTGCTAACCTCAATAATTCCTACTCTTTGGTGCTCTCACAGTTGTTGGTTTTTTTTTCCAACATGAATATACTCCCATGTGGGCATTGAAGGTACTTGCCCACAATATAAATCAGTAGTTGAGGGATATGCAAATAGGATTTATGTCAGGGCAAGTTTTGAGCATAGACTGGCTTATTCAGGATGGGTCTGTCTCCCCTCCACAGTTCAAACAGCAAAAGCCATTTAGAATTATTTTCAAAGCCCACTGTAAACTACACTGGAATTCACATTTTTTGTGCTCTGTAACGAGGTTTTTTGTGTGATATTGGAATCTTATTTTAGGCAGATAAGTATCTTGCGGACTACCTGTTTTACCAGGTGGTGTACCACATGAGATCTTTCCTGGAATTAAAACAGATGTAATGTAACTAATAACAGATGCAGTTTAAGAATGACAATTTTACTGAGATACAAAAAAAAAATCCCCTTTTTAGGTACTATGAGCAAATCTTAGTCAGTTTGTAGCTGTTGAAGGAATAGTTGAAACATCCTCAAAGAGCTATTATATAACAAGAAACTTGCAAGGAATGGCAGGTACCTACCTGATTTCCGTAAACTGAGAATCAAGTTGATTGCCTTAGGGTAGCCAGATGCCTGTAGTGCCTCGCTACTGTGTATGCTTTGGCAAAAGATATCCACTTGGTGACCCACATAATAGGAGTTTATTATGTATGTGATTGATGTTTCTCCAGCTGCAATGTGCACGTATCTTTCCCGAGTAGTGTTTCTCCCTTGAAAAACCACATCTATCTAAAAAATGACATGTAGATATAAGTTCTTGAAACAACTTTTAAATACTATTTAATTTTAAAACAGAAGACAAATGGAAGTGAAAGAAAGTTCTCTCTAGTCTATACTTATGTAAAAAATCTATCCATTAACAAAAAAATCTTAGCCTTTCATTAATCATCTATGACTTTCCAGTATGAAGTCCATTCAACTGTATGAATTTCAAACCACGCCAGCCTCATTGATTTATGTCAAATTTTCATTAGGTTCTCTTTTATCCCACAAAAACATGACTCCCTTTATATAAAGGATCCTTGATCCATGCTTTCTACCAATATTTACCAGATAGTAGGTACTCCAGTACTTCCCCGAAAATAGCACTTAAAGAAGTACTTCTTTAAGTAAAAAATTCCTGTTAAAGAACATAGGAGCAATATTCCAAATCCTGATGCAACGTGCTGAAACTATTCTCCTGTAGAGTTACAATATCAACAATACACACTGTACTAACACTGATCAGAATGGAATAAACTGGTCCAGAAAGCAGTCATAAAGAAATTTTCTATTTCAGTAGTTCAGGTTTTAGCCATCCATAGATTTTAAATACCAGAAAATCTCAGCTTCCATCCTGTACTTTGCAAAACGGTAGTTTTCATTCAACCCACAGGCTATTACATTATAATCAAGGACAATAATTTTAGTGCAAAAAACCCAAAAACCCCACCTGTAAAGATGATGGGACTCTGGCTTGTAGCAGCCATGGCCAATTATGATGGAAATTCCCAGTTATGTTGGTATTTGTTTCAAACTCCTGGATTTGTCCTTTGAGAACTGTTAGGTGAGCACCATAATACACTTTCATACTAAAGCTCTTGATCACTTTCAGGTTCAAGATAGCCTGTGTGCAACAAAGGTAAGTTGTGAAAAGGCAGCTATATAAAAGGTAAAGCTCCTGTTAGTCAGGGTTCTTTCTTTGGTTCAGGCAGTATCATCTCACAGATGTGTCAAAAAAATTAATCTTGTATAATTTTATAACACAACATAGTTACAGATGTTGACAGATACAGATATTCAACATATTAACAAGTATTCTCCAGTATAGCAATGCCTTAACGCTATTCAAGCAGTTACATGATTAGTAAAGAGTAACTGTTGTGCTGTAGGCTTGTGTACCTCAGAGAAAAAAAATATGCCAGGTAGTCAGAGTCTGGGAGGAAAATACCATTTGGAATGTAAACTGGGAAGTCATATCAGTACTCACTTCTGTCTGGTCTATACAAGCTACACTGCAGATCTATCAGACAGACTAGGCATGTCAGCTAAAATGCATTGCCCTCCTTGTGCTGCAAGCTCAGCTGTGGCTTTCTTTGTTCACGCATTGGGAGCCAACCTCCAACCTCTTATTCCTATGAAACTTTCTGGTCCAGCAAGCTCTTCTCCCAACCCCTCAAGAACAAACTGAGCTTCTGGACTCCCCTCCACCCCGAACTTTAGGGGAAAAAAAACCCAAAGACAGAGAGAGAGAGAGCAGGAAGGAGAGGGAGGAGTGAGAGAAAGAATATAAATGTTTTTAAAACACAAGCAGGCAGTATGACCCATGTATATTGGGACAACACCCAAATTCAGGAAAATCTTATTCTATGAGAAGCATAAGCAGCAATATGCTTTTCCACCTCCACTCTCCACCTAGACAGATAACACCTTCCCCAACTTCCTTTCACTTCTGATGGGTTACAGAACTCAGGAGTACAATCTGCTTGGTGAGAAAAGTAACTGATTTGTTAGCTGTCCATTACAGGGTGACATTTCATTTTACCACCACCACACTTCTCTGCCTCATCTTATCCCAGCTCTTTCCAAGATAGTCCTTGTATGCACAGACTTCAGATGTATCAGACCATTCATTTTGGACAAAAAAAAACCAGTTTGCACATCCTGCAATGCACTTTCATGATGAATACTCCACCATACTTCAAATTACATATTGAAGGATGGAGGACACTGCTGCTCTCTCTGGAAACTAAATTAAAGGCAAGGAAGACCCACTTAAGTAGAATATAAGTAGAGCACTGGGTCTAGAAATAAATAAATGAGAATGAAAGCAGAGGTAGTGTGACAATGCAGACTCCTTCATTCAGAAGGATACTTTATTGAAGGTTGATTGTATTTCAAAATGTTAAGAACGATCTTTCCCACTTGTGTCTGCAACATTAGGTAGATAATTTATGGTGTGGTTTGCTCCACTTGGGCTATATTTTGTAGCAATAAGCTTTTTCTCCTGTACAAATCTTGAATTTTAAGTGAAGTAGTATCATGAAGCAACTTTGAAATGTGTGCTATGATCTTATGCAAGATGGCATAACAGAATAGAAAAGATTATAAAGATGCCAAAGTTAACAACTGAATGAGTACAATTCTACCCTCCTTGGCAGAGAGACAAAAATTTCACCTAAATAGCAAATGCATAAAGTCATAGAATCATAGAATCATTTAGGTTGGAAAAGACCTTTAAGATCATCGAGTCCAACTGTCAACCCAACACCACCATGCCCACTAAACCATGTCCTGAAAGTCACATGTATACCCTCTGTTCTTTGCCATCTGACTTCTACAGCTACTGCTTCCATCATGGCATGATTTCAGGCTGGATTCATGTCTCTCCTGTCATTGTCCGATAACTTACCTGCAACTCAATCCTGTCTTTTATTTGCAAAGTCTTAAGTGCCTCTATATTATGAGTAAATTGGTAGTTAAGAGACAAAACATCCAATTTCTGGATAAAGCTCAGTTCTTCTGTAACCTGTTCAGTCCAAATAAAATATGACAAAAGTTAACTGAGGCACATCTCTGATACTGAGACCACTCTGATTAATTTTAATTATTGTACTAAATATGTATTAGAGTAAAATTATGAAAACTATGAAAAATTTATAGTGAAGAATTGTCTAATTTTTTTATGTCTCACAACTTTGTACTGTAATAGAGAAGATACTTGATAAGAAAGGTTTGATACAGTTTGCAAACAGGAGTCATGGATCATGGCTGATGTCAAATTTGTTGCTAGAAGTGATTGCACAGGAGTGGCTGAAAGATATTGCCTTCATTTAATTAAAGCCTTTAAAAACCAAACCAGCTCCTGCAGAGTATTCCTGTAAGGGCCTCATGCACAGCTATTTCAAATGGAGAAACAATATTTACCAAGTCAATTAGCTCACTTTAACCTCTGTTTCACATCTTATTAATATGGAGGAGACACTTACTTGCTTGCTGTTCACGCAGAAGTTAATAAGCCTTTTATAGAAGTCGCTGGTTTTTTCTGATATCACATCAACTAACATTCTCATAGGAATGCCAATGTCAGCAGCTCCTTGAATGTTATGGGTTAGCACTGCATCTAACTCTTGTCTTTCCTGTTAATATTGCACAGCATATATAGCAAAGCATGTGTAGAACCCAAAGCTTGCTGCAATACACAGCTCAAAACAGAATTTTAGCAAATCTGCCTATCTTACATTTAATACTAATTAAAACCAATTGTACTGAACTTAGGGAAGTTACACTGGCAAAAAGAAAAAATAATAAACCCTAACAGATAGGATAAAAAAAATACATATTTCAGCTAAGAGGGAAAAAGGTGCAAATGTTTCTCTCTGGTGGCAAAGAACTCCCACTAGCTATCTGTTTCTCTACAGCACAGAAATACGCAGAAATTACCAGTTACGGCATGTAAGTGAATGATCACTAGGAAGAAGATACTTCTTTCCATGTGTACTCTATTCTCCTGCACTGATGACAAGAGAAGTCAAACTTGTAATTGTCAACAGGAAAGCAAGAGGTTCACAGCCTTTCTTGTGCTGTTGTCTCACTGAAGAAACAAACAGCAGTGTCTCAATTAATTGCTGCCTATTATTTTGCAATGTAAATCATGGTGATCACTCTATAAATCACAATCTTTTTTCTTCTTATGCACTCCTGTATACTTTCATGATGAATGAAGAGTGTTATATTGGAGTACCTGTCATATATCTGAAGTGAGATCAGCATTTGTGGGTTTGCATGTCTTACCATATTTGCCACATAATATAAGGAACATCAAATAGTACAATATAAAAAGAAAAAAAAAATATATACACACACACAAAGAGCATAGCAATGAAATGATTCAGGAAGTGCCACAAGCCTGTATCCTATTATCCTATACATCTGTTTTACTGCACATTACAGGTGACAGATTTTCAAAGATTTATATTTATTCTGGCATTTATTACTAAAGCTTGACTATTTGTTCCCAATAAAATAGAGTATGTCACTCAGTACTTTGTACATGCATTCTAACAGTCTGTAGGGTACTTACATCAGTGACTTTTAGTATAATGAGTCCTTGTAATTTACTTTCATCAACACTGATCAATGTCTGTGACTCTAGGTTCATTTTATCCATCAAAACATAGCCTGAACCATCAATTTTTAATGGTGCTCCAAGATCCTGTACAAGGAAAAAAAAAAAAAAATTAAAAAATTCACCACTTTTACACTTATCCACAGATACACTATACACCTGAAAATTTTACTCCTAATAAGTAGCTCTAATAGCACCTAGCTGTAAATCTAGTATATCAGGCAGCATATCCATAGGATGTTTCAGAAATCTTGACAGCTTTTTATCACATTTTATACATTTTGTCTTTTTTATTTTGAATGTCTGACATATTTTTGATAAATAAGCCAGCATAAATAGAACACAGGATAAAATGGCAGCTCTTCCTGCCTACGGGAAAAGTCAATTAATTTTCTGTGCTTGGCATTGCTTCAGTGGCCCAAAGCATCCATAAATCCAGTGAAACCAGGCAGCATATATAGGTCTATTATGGCAGTTCTGTTTCTGGAAGAATCTCATCTTTGTATATTCAGATTTACCCTGACTTGCATATTGAATCCACAGATCATTCTGTGATAACATCTCTCTCAAACTTTCAGTACATTTCTCCTGTCCTTTCCATTCCTGCCTACATAGCACTGACTGGTGGGATCTGTAAGAGGCCGAGCACCATGACATCAGGATTTCCAATAGCAATACAAATTTTCAGTAAGAAAAGTCAGTGCACAATCCAGCTAAATTTAGAACTGCTACTTCAGGAAATCCTGCTGCAGAATTTCTCCACCTCCACCTACCTACAATAGTCTGGCCTGGGAAAACAAACTACCGGGTAAGAATTGAGGGAAAAAAGTGCCATTTTTCACTCCTCTGTGAAAAGGCTAAAGGACCTTAGTGTGTCATGCTAACTAGCTGAGAGGGGTCACAGCACGCTGCCTGTCTTTACGTGGGAAGCTCTGAAAGTCACTTTGCTCCCCAGCTCACACAGCTTCTCCCAGGCAATGACACTGTGGACTCCTTCAGAAATGGGGACTCCCAGGATGCCTGATGCCAGCCAGGTTGATTGTCCCAGAGACAGGGCTTCACTTCCTTTGCTTTGTATAGAAATGAGACTCTACTGCAAATGATGGCACATTTGTGTGGTATGGAGTGATCTTCCTCCACAGAACTTCAGTTTTCACTGTATTTTTCTACTGGCTAAATCTTGTCAACAAAGAAACTACTTTTTTTCCTACCTTACTAGTTGCTGTTCAGACTATAGAGTCTATAGCGAGATTCCCACCAAACCCAGAAGTTAAATCTCATTAATGAAACAGGAGGAGTGATTTGGTGGTGCTTGGTCAGGCACTGTAAATGGTAAGGTTCAGCTCAGGGACAATTATATGGCCAGCATTTGCAAGAATTACCACAAAGAAATGGCTCACTAGGGCAGTCCAAACCAGCTTGTTCAAAATGTCACTGTTTGTTTTTCAACTAAATCCCTGAAATATTTCTCAGCTGAGGTCTTACAGGAAATCGTAATTGCTGTTTAATGCTGGCTTTTTCACTCTGTGTGTTCTCCACAATGGTCTTCATATATTACATATCAGTTTGTCAGAAATTTCAATTTTGTGTAAAGCTGAGTGAAAATTTTCTGACCTGAATATTACCTATTTACTTGATATATTTTTAAACTATTTCAGAGTTTGGCTGTCAAACTGCTGAGAAACTGTAATTGCTGATAAAGTCAAACAGAATTTTGAATACTCATTATTTCTGAAGATTAAAACCCTGTAGATTTCTCAACCTTGCTTTTAAAAAAATGCATCAGAGCTAGAACAATCAAGTTTATTAACTACAGGTACTGATTCATAGAAAATTTGGCTAGCACCAAAAGCAAGATGTAACGTTAAAAGAGAATATGTTTCTTGTTTCTCTGCTGCCATTGAAAACATTAGACTATTTTCTTTTGACTTTAGTAGGTGCAAAGATCCCAGTTTAGATGTATAAATTCAAGAGTAAAGCAAAAAAATTCTTTCCAATACCTGAATTGTTTGGCATTTGTTTTCTAGAAACATTTTCCACTGAAGCTTCTTTTCAGGGTCGAAGTCCCCATTCATTTGAAGCTCACAATCACCCAATTTCATTCCTGTTCCGATATGATATTTTAACTGGTTTTGTGCAGTGATGGACAGTTTATTTTCCCTTGGGATTTCCTTCAGTTGAGGGAGATCATGCCTGAATTGAACTTCCAGTGTAATCTTTGGCTCGCACTCTGTTCTCACTTCAAGATGGGCAGTCTTGCCTTCTGCTTCAAGGACACAGAGAAGTTCTGCTTGGCACTTGTCTTTCTGAATAGATCCTGTGAGCCGTGACTGATTTGGAATACTGAGATCCTATCAAGATTTAAAAAAAAAAAAAAAAGTCCTTTGGATTACACATACACTTTAAGACAAGTCAGTATTGAGTCTTTTTTCGTCTCCCTTCAGCATACGAGAAAGGAGATTTTATGTTACAATATCAGAGACAAAACCTACAATCTCTGCACTGCCATTTTTCTCCCTCCCAACAGTAAGACGGCAATTTTGCCTTAATAAGGTCTGAGGGAAGATTTTAGGACTGCTCTGCAGAATTTATGACTTCTGTATCTATATGAAGTTTTACATTTACAAAAATACAAAATGCCATTTCTTCAGAGTGGCAAAGTTTACTGAACATCCTCTGCTTCATTCAGACCAGACCAATCTCAATTTTCAAACAAACTAACCCACAAAAAATAATAGGCCTAACAGACATTCTTGTATCTGGTGTCATAAGGTTTCTTTTTTTTTTAATACTAAAACTTCAAGCTTGTCTTGTGCGACATCCCAAATGAAATGTTCCCTCTCATTCTTTCAAAGTATTTGTAAAAACACTGAAAATTCTACTCTTAAATATTTTAAGTGGCTTGCATTCCCTCTTCACTATGGGTGACGCACAGTTTTCTGTAATTTTTGTTTATATATTGCTACTTAGTAGTTGAGGGAATTAAAACTGAGGAGTTAAAAGCAAAACATAAATGCCTATGAATATCTGGAAAAAAACCCTAAATTCACAATAGTCATTCTTTCTAATGTAGTCAGTGAGGCTAGATGGAAAAACCAAGGAAATTTCACAGCTTCTACTTTGATAAAAAAGACAGACCAGAGAATGTATTTTTTGACAAATAGTTCAAACTAAAACTGCTGTTCAGCCTTAGAGGGCAGTCTTGATCTGCAAAGGCAACAAGCAGCAAAGACTGAACTAATAATCTCTATCTACAGAGAACACCTATTAACGGGATACATTAGACACATTCTTTGCCTAATGCTGTAAGACCGTTGTGTCTTTAGAGCAGCTTTCCAACACTCAAACATTGTTATTTTAGCTAAAAGCCTATATGGCCTGCATTAGATACCAAATCTCTCTTCAAAAGCCTCTGAGAGCTACCTGCAGAAGCTGACATTCTGTTTCTGTTTCCAGTGTCCATTCAGCTTTATTCTGAATAAAGAGGTCTCCTCTAGCCTTAAATTTGCACTTCCCAGCCTGCAGCAACAAAATGCCCTCAGTGGTGGAGTCTGCGGCTGCAGACAACAGGAGAGAGTTTTCAAAAGGCAGCCCAAGCTGACTCAGCCAGTGAACTGAATGCCTGAGCATCCCTTGGGCTGTATATTCGTGTTCGCAGGAAGTGTCTATCTGCACATCAACTGTTCTGCCATCACACTGGAGGTTCATTAACAAGCCAACGTTGCAGATGTTCTGTTGAAATGAGCCCTCGAAGGCTACAGCATGAGGCAATCCCATCCTCTGCAACAGAAAAGATTATACTATTTAAAGCCCACAGGGTAAAGTAACTGTCTTCCTAATTTCTTTCTAATTAATGAGAAAGCATTTCTTCTTTCTGAACCAATATGCTTTTGGAAAGGACCATACAAGAGAGCTTATTTCACAAAGAAATCAGAAATTTCTCAGTGAAACAAGAGAAAAAGAAATTATAAATAAATTGCATGGGGGGAAAAAAAGCCCTACAACAACCTTTTCATAAGTACTGTAGAAGAAAAAGTTTGTAACCCCAAAGAAAACCTCAAAATTTCAAACAGAAAAGACATGCTTTTCATTAGATTCTAGGATGAAAGTTTATTCTAATTAAAAAGCTATAATTAAGCAACTATTTTATGGCAACAGCAGTAACATCTACCATTGCATTACTCCAAACTCTCATCTTCAAATACACTCCCTCTGCAAGTGCTCTGACTCATTGCTCTGCCAGAACAACTTTAATGACCAAAACTGTCCTTTCCATAGTGTCAGGAGATAGTTCTCTATGACTCGTAATGATCTGAAATACACAGACTATAATGCCATACAGAAAACAATCCAGGCTTACCTCTAGACTGACGCACTTGTTTCTAAAAGTAAGTACCCATTCTGTATCTGTTTCATTGCTTGCCAGGCTCACTTCTCCATCAGCTTTTAAACTGCAAGGCCCAAGGACAATACCAAGCATGGCCTTATACTTCTCATTTCTCATGGCTGACACCTTCACTTGGTTCTCTCTGGCAATTCCCAGAGACTGAAGCGAAGGCAAAGAATGCTGGAAGGCAATTTCTACATGAGGCTGGATGTTAGTGGTGGCATGGAGTTGCAGGCAGGCAAACACGTCATGAAAAGAAACGTGTCCAAAGAAGACGACAGTAAAGTTGCTGGTAAACATTGACCCATTCACTGAAACTCTTGCTGGAGTCTGAAAAATTACAGGAAAAACTGTTAAGTTTGTTTTCCTGTCAGGCCATATACTGTTTTTAAATGCTCATGTTATTAAAAGAGAACTATTTCCCTACTACCCTGACACCATTTTGTAATCGTCCAACATATTTATAAGCTCCTAAACACACGGAGACATGGCCTAAAATCTTTATTTTAGAGTTCCATAATAAAAATAACAGAAGAAAAACCCCAACTCCACAATTCTGTTCAAACAATTACTAGTATCAGAAAAATCAACTGCTATTGCTTTTACTATCATCACTTCTGGTTTTACTATAAGTAGATAGAGCTCTAGCACTATGACAATGTGTTCAATTCCCCTCACACCTCAGCAGGAGCGACAAGTGTTATACATATTGTACTCATGTGTATTGGGTTTGTGTGGCAAGGTTTTGGTAGCAGAGGGGCGACAGGGGTGGCTTCTGTAAGAAGCTGCTAGAAGCTTTCCCCATGTCCAAGAGAGCCAATGTCAGCTGGTTCCAAGACAACCCCGCCGCCAGCCAAGGCTGAGCCCATCAGCGACGGTGGTAGCGCCTCTGGAAGAACATATTTAAGAAGGGAAAAAAAACCCCACGTGACAGAAACTGCAGTGGAAGAAAGGAGTGAGAATATGTGAGAGAAGCAACCCTGCGGACACCAAGGTCAGTGCAGAAGGAGGGGGAGGAGATGCTCCAGGTGCTGGAGCAGAGATTCCCCTGCAGCCCGTGGGGAAGACCATGGTGATGCAGGCTGTCCCCCTGCAGCCCAGGGAGGTCCACGGTGGAGCAGATCTCCACCTGCAGCTCGGGGAGGACCCCACGCCAGAGCAGGTGGGTGCCCAAAGGAGGCTGTGACCCCCTGGGAAGCCCGTGCTGGAGCAGGCTCCTAACAGGATCTGTGGACCCCTGGAGAGAGAAGCCCACGCTGGAGCAGGTTTTCTGGCAGGACTTGTGACCCTGCGGGGGACCCACGCTGGAGCAGTAATCTGGTCTGTTTGAACCCATACTAAGGGAGTGAAAATATCTGAAAGTGTATGCAAAACTTCCAGCTAACTCAAATCCATTTCTACATCTCTGACACCTTTCAGTACTTAGATCCACTTAGTGATAGTTAAGACAGTGTATTGTTGACAGCAGAGTTTATAAATGAAGCCAGTACCTCAAAATGATGAAATCTAATTGCTCCATTGCAAAGGCCAGAAAGTTGTTTGTTAGCAGATTCTCCACTGCAAGCAACCTGTTGGCATTATAAACAAAGCACATTCAGAGCACGAAGAAAAGCAGAGAGGACTAAAATACAAAGGAACGAGCTAAAAGGCTGCTTTCAGGATAAAAAGCATGAAGATACTAAAACAGCCTTAAGATTAAAAGTTAGAGATCAGTTTCAAAAAGATAAACAGTTTAGTGAATCTGAGGCTAAATCATGTCTCTAATCTTGCATTATCATACCAAAATATTATCAGCATAAAGACAGAAGAATATCTCCAAACAGTAGGAAACAGTTGCTTGCTAGACAGAACTATTTTTGACACTCTGGCTTTTGATTTTGACAGGAGATAGTGGTATTTCTTATGTTTGGCATAGAAAATACCAGTGTCACAAGCAGACATTCAGTATTTCAAATGCCATCAGCTGTGTCCCCTGTTGCAGAAAGTGAAGTCCTTGTGGAGTGCTGTTGGCTGTATGAAAACTACTGCCATTATTATTCACTCTACTGTCAATACCACTGCAGCCACAAACAGCCACGTGATCCACCTGCAAACTCTGCTTTAGCAAGAAGGAAAAGCTGGGACTGCATGCTATTGTGCCTGGGCAAGCACCCACTCCAGTTTCATAACCTAAATGTTTTGTTACCCACCACAAAACCTCCTCTTTATTGCTAAGCAAAAAAATTTTAGGCTTTCTGTACTGGCCTTGTTTGGTAAAAATCTCTCTCCCTTCTGGCCTGCTAGCTTGCTGTCAAGCAGTAAATCTGAACAATTGAGAATGCAGAGCAGAAAGCTGCATCAAATACACTATATAGTAGGATTTCTGCTAACCTCTAGTACACGTGGAACAATTTCAGTTAATCCTCCCACATCATGGTGAAGTGAAAGAGAGATTTCCATAGCACTGCCAGTGGTTTTCTTCTCTATTTCAATTTTGAGCTGTTCCATCTCCACTGTGGTTGTTATCCCTGCAGCAATCTTTCTGGTGAAATTCTATGCACAGAAGAAACCAAATCATGAAAAGAAACATCCCAGCAACAACTGGCAAAGGCAGTCTGTTTCATCATGCTTAAAACATCACAGCCTGTGTCAGGGTAGCAGCACTGGTAAAATAAAAGTGCAAATTCATCAAAGCGGCTTCATTTCAAATACAGATTTTCCTGTTATGCTAGACCTTCCAAATGCTACGTACCAGTAATTCCTTCTGGCTCCAAAACACATTGAGAGCAATCAGTACCCTGGAGGATTTGAGTCCTAAGGCATACATGATTAAAGCAGTGAAACTACTAGTAAGCAGGGCAAGGGGAACTGTATAGAATTCTTCCTCTGCATAGCTCTGTGTGTCACTATACCACAGTGGCTGAACCAACCACAAATATCAGTATGTTAGTGACTTGAGCCTGACAGCATATGTTAGAACAAGCAAAATATTTGAACCCTTCTTTTATGGAAGGATCATTTGAGATGCAAAAGAGCTATACTTTATTCACAGATCTATAGCAGAAATGCAGATAGAGAGAAGAGTTGGCCAAGCAACACTGTACCAGGAAACATGATCCGTGACGCTTCTGTGGGTAGATATTTCCAAACGGAAAGCCATGCTAAACACTCTTCCACTCTTTAGCAGACATCCTAAGGATGACCTCAGAACTAGTTAAATCCAGTACCAAATGCAATATAGTACTTAGGCTCACTGACACTTACGTGATGGCTACATACATTAGGCCTGCCTGTCCACTTCCCATTTATATGGGAAAAATAAAATTGGACAAGACTCCTGTTGCTATGCAGCAAAGCACTTCACTTAAATGAGAACTGAATGTAGCATCTCATTTAGTCTAGATTCAGCTCCATGACTTCAGATGACAGATACACAGTAGGACAAGAAGCCAGAAAATACATTTCTTTCACATAGTCATTTAGCACATCTCAAAAATGCAGATGCTTTTGGAATAAAGTGCACAGGAATAACCTACAGTTATTAGAAACGGTTCTGCCAGAAATTAAATAATCACAGGCAGAACTCTCCTTACCTCATAATATCCAGCAGCTTCCACAATAAAAGGGATCCCGTGTTTCTTTATCTTTGAGATGTTGTGCTTTAAACTCACAGATAGCTGGGATTTAGGAGGCTCTGTGGACAGTCTGTGACCTCCAAACACAGCAGTAATCCTTTCACTGCCACTCTGTAAGGCTATAGTAATGGTGTGATTTCTTCTGCCATGGTCACACATGGCATTAAGAATGCCATCCAAGGGCAATCCTATTGACAGGGAAGGAAGTAAAATCAACACAATACTTCTGGGTTGTCATTGTAAAATACAGAAAAGGTGTATTACAGATTAAAAGAAGCTTCTATAGTTTTTCATAAGAAAAAGATCTTTTTTTAAAGTGCGACCATCCAGTTAGCTGTACTTACTGATATTTATAGTAAAGAACATTACCTACCATATGAGAATCCTATTAAAAAAGGACTGTTAAATTAAAATGTGGCATGCACTTTGGAAGTCAAGGATTTTTCTTTTTTTAATAAAGGATATCTATCAATGGGTATTGTGTCCAACTCCAGGAGTCAGCTGTTAGAAAGTTTCAAAACGGATTTCTTCAGTCCAAAGGGACAAAGGCAATTTACCCATTCAAAATTATTGGTAACTTCAGCTCATGAAAACCCTTGGTTTTGCTTAGAAAACAACAGTTGGCATATTTCAGTCTTCAGTGTGATTTATTCAATGACTCCCAAAGTATCAATTCTGACCCAAATCAAAACAGGCATAAAAATATGCTTAGAGGAACTGATCAGCATGCAGGAATACAGATGTACAAGAGAGAAATAATTTACTCTGAAGCAGTTCAAAGAGTTTTTAAATAGTTTTGTATCCATCTTATTGTATTTTCTCAACAATATTAAAAAGAATGTTGCTAAGACTAGATCACATTTTGTTCTGGTGTAAGCAAATGCACCTCATCTATTTCCACTGTCTGCACTCTTTTAGATAAATTCACCTTGACACCTTGTTACACCACACCATCAAGTCAGAGTTTTCCTCATACCTGCATTTTTTAAAAAGCTGATATTATGTGTGAAAGTCCCACTGACTCTGCTGTGCCCATGACTCATGATATTGGAAAAATCTACAGAAAGGGCTTTCTCATCCACCTGGAAGCTAGCTAGCCCCCTTTTCATCTCTTTACTCAGCTCCAGGTGTCCTTTCAGTTTTGCCTCCATTGGGACTGCCTGACTGCCATTCTGAAACATGGCAAAAGTGATATTGTGTACAGTGGCATTCCCAAACACATTTCTGTTCCTGAGACGGAGTCCATACAGTGTTTTGTTGACCATCACATTGATGTTACCTGTAACAAGCAGAAACAATTACCATGGAGCGAGTCCTTTGGGACCGAAATAGCCAGAATTTTGTAAGCAACATATAAATCTACCATTAATTTAATACTAAGAAGAAGCAAAAGAATTTCCATTTATTACAATGATAATTTAGCCTAATCTAAAGAGTGAATCAGTTTATTGTTGAGAGAGTTTATCTACGAGCAGAAGTGTCTTGTGTTTAAAACAAATTACATAATAGTACTTTTGGCAGCTGTTCCTTTTTATTCACGAAGATGCTTGTGCCTTTAGGCCATGGACTACACTGCATTGCCTTCTGAAGGAAAATTTACCGAGGGACTATGACCTATTACTTGTGTAACTCCAGGCTAAACAATCCCTCTGGAGCTCTGCAGTCCACCCATGGAGCCATTCAGAAGAGTAAGAGCCTCAAGTCACACCCCATCACCCCCCACACCCTCCATTTCAGAAGACCTGCACAGGAAAGATGCCACTTGCTATTTCCTTCAATCAATGAAAATATGAAAATTATCAAACTATATTAGTTCACTAAAAAGTAGTTTCAACCCAATGACCAACAGTTTATTTTGCATGGTAAATACTCTCTTCTGCATTATATGCAGTTCAGTAAGGAATACGTTAAAATTAAGAAGCCTCCTTAGACAGCTGCAGACTTAGCAGCAAAACACAAAATAAAAAAGTACCATCATGAATGTTGTTTTTGCACTTCAGTAATCCACTCAGAGAAAGAAGATGAGGTATGGCCTTTAATCCAGCAAATGTGTGGTGGACTCTTCCATTTAGGGACAAAACAAAACCAGCTTTCTGCTCCCTGGCTCCCGTGAAATCCATGTGAAGCCTATTTTCATTAAGCTTCACCTCAGAAGATATCAGAAGTCTAAAAAGACAGAGATAAAAATTGCTAGTAAGATATTATTATGCTTAATTCATGATTGTTGAGACAACCCTCCTCTCACTCAAAGTAGGATCAATGACAGCCTGGTGCTCAGGAGCACATGTGGTCAGGTTTGAGTATCTCTAAGTATGGAGACTCCACAGACTTTCTTGGCACTTGTTCCAGTGTTGTGAATCAGTGAATCGGATGCTTTGCAATAAATACATGATATTCACCAGATGTTTATAAAACTAGTCAGTAAAACTACTCAGTAAAGCCTCACAGACTGGCAGACTGATTTTTCTTCCAATTTCTTGGATGCTTTTGTTATGACCCCTAATAAAAGAAAAAGATAGAGATGGACAGAGTTAGATAGAGTTGGAAATGAACTCTTCTTTGTCACAATATGAAATCTCTCTTCAGTGCTGATTTACAACTACCTGAAAGGGGGTTGTAGTGAGGTGGGGGTTGGTCTCTTCTGTCAGGTGGCTGGAGATAGGACAAGAGGAAATGGCCTCAAGTTGAGGCAAGGGAGATTTAGGTTAGATATTAGGAAAAAATTTTGTACTGAGAAGGTTGTCAAACATTGGAATGGGCTGCCCAGGGAAGTGGTTGAGTCACCATCCCTGGAGATATTCAAAAAGTGAGTGGACAGGGTACTTCAGGACATGGTTTAGTGGGCATGGTTAATGGTTGGACTCAATGATCTTGAAGATCTTTTCCAGCCTAAATGATTCTATGATTCTATCAAAAGCAGCATTGAGAATTCAGCTTAAACAATAATTCTAAATGTCACCACCATTTGAGTTTGGTAAATGAACCAACAATTATTTCTTTGTATCTTGGCCCTGAGTTGAACAGTGTTGGAGAAACACAGCACAGCTTTTTAGGGAAACCTGCTGGAGCAACAAGAAACTCAATTTTCAGTGTTCCCGGTATAAGACTGAGACTCAATTTTCACATTGCCTTCAACAAACTCTCCATTGAAATGTCTGACTTTCTAGACTCAAGTATACTACACAAAATACCTGTAAGTGAGGCAATCATATTTTCATACTGTTAGACATCCTTCCTAGAAATTGGAACCCTCTTGCAAGATTGATGAATAAAAACTCATTGAAAATCCACTTGATGGGAAGAATTGAACTAAATAATTCAGGGATGTAAGATTCATTTCATCAGTCAGCAACTGAGGTCTGTATAGACTGCATCTTTTTACCAATTCCCCAAAAGTATTCAATCTTTTATTTTTCTCTCTTTTCTCCCTGTAAAATATATCCTAAAAAAAATTGTCATTCCAGAAATTTTAAGTGTTCTGTTTTACTTTCTGTGAAGTGAGCTGCAATAAATTGCTCTGTTACAGTCTACCCTGGTATTTAAACAAATGAACATATTATTGGAAGCCCAGAACTACAAGTAAGCTGCAGAAACACATGAAATATCTTTCTTGAATATTTTATCTTCTTTTTTTTTCTTTTACTAGTAAATCTAATGAGCTTCAACTAAATTGTAATAACTTCTGATTTCTTTAATTCTGTCTCCTCCTTCTCCTCACCCCATCCAACTCATAAACTGCTAAACACTGAGACTGCTACAAAACCATCAACTCCTTCACTGCACACTTTTGTATTTGTGAAATCTGAAAAATCAGCTGGAAGACAGCTGAAACTTGGGAGGGCCAAATTTCTATTTTCTACCCCTGCCACCTCAGAGCTTTCCACAATACTCAATAAAACTTTAACACTGGGACATGCCGCCTTTGACTGGCATAGCTTGTAAATATTAGTTCCTTACTTCTGAGAGGACAAACAATGGGGGAAAAAACCAACTGCTTATCTAAAACCAATATAACAGTACAACCCATTCATTCAAGTTATCTCTATACAAAGTCCTAAGAAAGCAACTAGAACACATTAACATAACTTATTACACCAACTTATGAAATATAAAGAGCAAAAGTATTTCAGTAACAGGGAAAATGCATGAAATGGCATTTGCTCAGTGCCTTCTGCTGCAGCTATATGAAAGCAGTTACATTTAAATAAGTATCACAGAACACTCTTCAGCTCCTCTTAACCAAGATTCTAATTTCTCTACCTTGATGGAAATATTTTGCCCATGAGCTGGAACTGTACTGATTCTGGGTTTGTCAGGATTGTCTGATGGAGGAAAGCCCTCAATTCGACAACTCTGGCATTCTTTCTGTTTTCATTGTTCATATCAACCTCCAGCATCAGCATGTCTCTTCCATTGGAATGAAGATAAAGAGAGCCATTGAAATTGCTCTCACCATAACTCTTTAGGGCTGCCTGGGCCTACACATAGAGAAAAGAAAAACAGGACATCAAGGATCCCAAATCATAATACAGAATACTGAAACATCAGTTTGAGGAATAAGACTGCAGACAAGAAGCTGGGCCTGGGAAAAGGCTGGGGGAGGGGGAAAGATTTTTTTAGCTTTCATCTTTGTTTCTCACCATCTAACTCTATTTTTATTTGGCAATAAATTAATTTTGCCCAAGTTGAGTCCATTTTGTCCATGAAGGTAAGGGATAAGTGATCTCCCTGCCTTTATCTCAACCCGCCACACAGGACAAAGTTAATCCTAGAGAAAGAACCTTCTGAATTGGTAATAAAAGCTACAGATGACACCTGATTTTGCATACAAGCCTGTCACCATTCTAGACCTTTCAGCAAAAAAATTATGAACTACGTTGAATTTTAAGTACAATTTAACTTGACTTTCAGAGTTTTCTGAATTTCAGCCAAAACACAAGCCACCCACTCCAACTGCATGTACCCATCTAGCCAGAACAAACTCTAACCATAAAAAGTTAACTGTTTCCCTAACAATTTACATCTGTCCACTACACTCATTGAATTCCATATGAGTTGACCAACTTTGTAGTATACACATACATTTGTGTTCCCATGCTTGAAAGTAGTTGCAAAGCAATTTATAGCACAAAATTAAAGAGCTCCCAGAGACTCAACACAGGTCTGAGTGTATGAACTGCAAAAGCCACAAGTTCAAGCAACTAGACTATAATAATCAAGAAACTGACCTGTGAAGACATGTTCTTGTTGATGATGGCTTTTACACTCACACTGTAGTCAAAGTGTTCCAGTTTAGTCTGCCTGGAAAACAGCTCCCCACTTAGGCCCACTGCTTGTGGAAACTCAAGCTATTTGACAAAGTAAAATGTAAACATAATCACTGCATTCCCATCAATTGCCTCATGTGATTTGAATCTAAACTTTTAGCATGAAGTAGAGGATGCGTAAAAGTAAATGTGTGTATAAAATTTTACCAATTTTACCCAAAGACACTGAAAAATAAATCAAATGCAGTAAAAAGAGTATGAAGGCGAAAGGTCAGTGTGTTTCTTACAAGACATTATTGATACAGATTATGATTTGATCTGCTGAGATACCTAGGATCTTTGTCAGGGCCAGGACTTCATTTAACTAGAAAGTTTACAAGCATAAAACAATTATAATTCTAAAGACAATGCAGTAAGGCAGCCACTAAGACATAAAAAATAAAATGACATAAATGAAAACCACCAATACCTGGAATGAATGTGTCACATCCATGTGTAAAAGATGTCTAAAATCTGCCTCACTGGATTTGTCCTGATATCCCCCTAGAAAGCTGAGAACATCTTCCTTATTGACCTTCAAAGTAGTCTCAAGCTCATGCTTCACCTATGTGTTAATAATGTGAATAAGCAAATTGCATTGAGTATTAACCCTGTATGTTATGGAAGATGAGAGAAGTCATCCCTGCATATTATGAAAAATGAAAAAGTTGTGAGCTATTACCTTGTGGCTCAGAATGAAAAATGAGCAAAGCAGGAAAAAAACCCTGCTTTTGGTAAGAAAGATGAATGGATACACCAAGATAAAGATGAGAACCCTGAATCCATTCCTTCCCAGTACTTGTTATTATTAATAATATTCATGCATAATAATATTTTTAAAAATAATATATTAAGTATTTTTATCATATATTACTACAGAACATATTATTATATATTATTATACAAAACACTGTATTAGCACCAACCACATCGTTACCCTGTTAACTTTTTGGTTGCATTATTTATATGGTGACGAACTAAAGACCTATAGCAAGTTAGGTCTGAAACGACAATAAACTGTAAACAAATAGGTAATGAATCTCTCCTAACTGAATTTAATGGGAAATTTACTCACATTTTGGTGACTTTGAGTTAAAATGCATATTTCAACATCTTTGGGGAACAACCTGTAGTTATAAGGATGAGTTATGCCAGCACAAATCTAAAAAAAGTTTGAGAGGAAATGCAAGGAACATAAGATATATATATATACAGTAAATCACTCATTTGCTGGCTTTTTTGGTATGCCAGATTAAAGGAAATTCTTGTATAACTCACATAGGGGTTTTCAGGTTGGTAACCAAGTCTAAGAGTTTGAACTGTTTCCTCCACTCCATTTATCAAAACTTTTGTTTCCAAGAAATAGTGCTTTTGCTTTTTGTCAACAGTAAACGTTTCCTGCAGAAGGAAGCTCTGCAGAATGGGCACTTTAAAAGGATGCCTAGAACAAAACAAGGAATAAGCAAAATGTAAAACATCTTAATAGGCAACTAAAAAAGAAATCATGCAGAGTTCAACCTGAACTCCAAAATTTTCAGCTGTAGATACCATCAGGGTGTCAGATACAGAAGCAAAACACATAGGACCAGGACCTCTAAGAAATTACTAGAACATAATTACAACTTCATACAAACTACACACATTTACCAGAATTTCTGATAGTTTCCATCCTGGATTCAGGAAAGACTTGGAAGAGCATGGGAGGGCGTGATGCTCTAAAATTCTGACATGCATAACCAGTACATACACTTTATATACCTGCATGGCCAAGACCTCATTTCAAATAGGAACGGTGTCCAAAAGCTTATGGCAGCTTTGAAAACCTCACCTATCGACAACATTTTATGCTTTCTGTAGAAACAATATCTGTATATCAAGAATCCTATGCAACAGATGTTCAGCTAGTATGTAGTTCTTGGAGCAGTATTAAACATTTCTACACATTTACTTAGTTGAATGTCTTGGAAAAATGCATTACCTTTTATAAGCAGACATTGGACTGCCTTTATACATGTTAGGATATCTGCTAAAGCTCTTCGTTCCTCATTTACCTATTTTTTCCATTACTGAAAAGCCATCTCACAGTTTTTTAGCTATCTCCAAGATGCACTGTGCACTCCTGTTGACCCTACTACGCCTTGAGAAAGCTGAGATGTCCCCAGAGATGATCCAGATGACTCAAGTCTGAACATACATTTTTACAAGGCCTTCCTTCAAGCTCTGTTTTGATAATGGGTAATGAAGAGAGAAATTTCAGAGACAGCCAATATCTAGAAGCAGCACACTCATTCTCATGAGGAAATGGAAACATGTTCCAAAATCTAAACAAGACCATTTGTTATGTGTTTTAAGAGGGATACCTTTGGCTTTAGAATGGCTATATTATTCCTAAGGACTAGAAGAAAAGGCATCTGGATGTCACATAGGATCAGATCTGGATTTTGGTTGGACACACCATACATCTGTTTTCATGAAAGGAGGCTATATGCCCAATAGAGTTGCCAACAAACACGTTGCCACAGCACACGTGGCCTGTTGCCTTTGACAACTTTCTTCACTATCATTTCAATAAAGAGGGCAAAAGCTAATGGATGCAAATAACCAGCCATGAAGTCAGTGTGCTTGAGCAAGTTCAGACAGCCAGACAGGAGGAAGCACGGGCTTTGTCCATGTGGCACTTCCACTTTGTAAAGCCCGGAACATTTCCCAAGAGCATCAAGATGCACATTAAATTTAGACCAAAACATTCTTCAGAGATAGAAATAATACGACTACTGAACCTGAAATGGAGGGTTCCACATTTTTGATAGAGCATCTTCTCCTTCTTCAGCTCTTCTATCTGACCTTCAAACTGCAGCATGACAGGAAGACTTTTATAATCTCTCCATACAGTCCTCACAGAAAAGTTTGTCTTCTTAGGCTGCACTCAAATCATGAGACCAGAAGAGGAAAGGACAATTGCATCAGATTTACTGCATCCGTATTCAGGAACATCAACATAGAAACCACATTGTTGAACAGGCTGCAGCGAGACTGTCATTTCACAGATCAACCCCTTTCAGTTTAAATCCTGGTCTCCATTTACGTAGGATTAAAAGTGACATTAGTAGAAAACTGACTTCAGCAGAAGAAAAACACCCTATAATTTGTCACTTGAGTGTAACCTGTTTGCAATACGAGCAAGCTTTAGCTCTGGTACCAGTACATTTACATTCAAAAACTGATGGGATTTTCAAAGCATGGAATGCTATGACTAGAAAAACACTTTTTTGTTTTAAGATGTCCTGCAAGGAAACGACCAAAGTAACTGACCGAAAGATCTCTTTGGAGGACAAACTGCAGATTACCCTTCCTGTGCCACAGACATCAAGCAAAACAAAAATGATTTTAAGGTTGGAAGGGATGTAGAGGCCAAAATATCATATAAACCCAGGCTGTTACTATGCTTACTAGCAGGCAAGATATTTTGATTCTCCAAGGCTGTAGAATCTTCCACACTTGCCATACATCTGTATCAAAATGTAAGTAATCACATCTACAGCATTCTTTCTAGCCATGTAGCCTCTCTTTGTCTTCCCTGACTTTCTGTCTGTAGTTGTACTCCCAAATAGGTTAGAATTACACAAAACTACACCACACAAGTTTTTGTTTGTTTTCTTTTTCAATCTAGTTTTACACTGCAGGTTGTCAAAACAGAAAGAAATAGAAGCAGCACTAGAAGTGTTTAAGTTTCAACACTAGCAATAACATCTCTCAGGAAGGTGGCAGACGTGGAAAACACAGTGCTGAGTCAAAGAAATTGCATTTGTATTTCTTTCTTACCATTGGCAGATTCTGATAGCTGGCTGTGAAGTTAAATTCCTGTTTTGTACTCTTTATCTTAAAGCAGAGAAATTTGGCTCGTTCATTATTCTCCAGATGAATCTCATTCTTCACAAGCTGATTCCACAGAGATATCATTTCACTATAGCTATGCAGAACATTCCTCCCAAGATGATTAAATGTGGATGCCTGAAAAACAAAGATGAACACATTAGTCTGGCTGAGTTAGGACAGACAGAATCCTATTGTGCCAGCAGCACAGCACAGAGGTGAAAAGAATGCATTTCCTTGGAGACGATCATTACAAGAACAATTAGAAATAGTGTGCCAGCTTTTCCATCATCAAAACATTCTGAATTGCCATAAAGATCTCAAAGTTTATTTTATCCCCCCTAAGCAAGGGAGAGCAAAAATGCTGAACAGTTGCTGAACATTTTTTTCTCATTCAAGAATGTTTCTCACAATCCTTCACACTGTGCCTGAATCAGCAGTGATCTAACAAGGGAAAGCTGCCATTCAGGATAAAGGAACACCTCAAACATAAGCATAAGTTAAAGATTTAGACAACTGCAGCGGATTCTAAAAGAAAGGCAAACATTCCAGGCTCTCATCTCCTTTATACAGAGGCAGATAAGAAGTTAAGCTTCTCCAAGACAAATCTACACTTTGCATAGTGACAGAGGTTTATCATAGTGCTTAATACACAGCAACTGTGATGAAATCAGTTTTAAACCTCTATTGCATAGCACAGTCTAAAATAAATTAGGACGAAGCTTAGAAACCATAGACTTGGGGCACACTGATTCCACCCAGTGGATATTTAATCATTTTATAGAAAGTGAGAGAATTCCAGTAGAAAAGACAGAAGACTACACATTGAGAACCTGCTATTGAAGGTTCTCTCACAGATTTGTGGGAGACTGGAGTCATTCTCTAAGTCACAACAAAAGAAATAACCTTTCATTTCCCAGGATTGTTCTGAACCACTGAACTATCCAGTACTCTAGCCTGCAACAGGATTACCATTTCTCCCACTGAATCTGTTCATATTGCAGAGTTACATGTAGAGATACTTATTCATTTTGTAGCGATGCAGTGATATAAAGAGTAGCAACAAGAACACCTCAGTGGCAAAGGTGTTCTTCTGCAAGATCAGAATTCTAGTATTAATGGAGCTCCAAATACTCATGGAGAATTTTTACAAACGGTGTCATATCAAGAGGCAGCAAGTGCCATGAACTACATGACAGCCTACTGAGCAGGATACTCTCCAGGAAGAGGCACATTACATTCTTCTTAGGCAGAGGATGCCGTTAAATCTAATGCCTCAAATTTAGGTGAATGCTGTGATCACTGGGCTCTTAATTTATAAGTTTGGCTATTGTTCTTCCTACTTTTAAAATGAAAGACACTCTCAACTGTTTCATATCACCAAGGAACAAGTTTTAAAGATTTCTTACATGATGATTCCATTTTCCTGCTTCCTGGAATTGTTAGCTCATGGAGGGAGGAGGCAGGGAGAAAACTTTAAAATAGTAATTATTATTTGTACACTCCTAGGCAGAACTCTGCCATCATGTATTTGGGTTTTACTGCAGGGAGCGATGGACTCCTGTTCCAAAGAGGGGTAGAGGTGGTGGCCCTAACATTTTTTCGAAGCTAATAAAGAGACGCTGGCAGTGCTGATTCAGCTGCCCCAGAGAAGAATAGCTCATCATTCAAGCACAGAAAACAGATTAACATAGGCATTTCAAAATCCTCTCTTATAAGCTGGCACACAGTGCCTAAATTTCTCAAACAAGCTACTCTACACAGCATGCTGAACAAGTGTTACTTCAGTATGATGACAGTTCTGTAGGGTATCAATCACAAAGCTCTATCATCAAAGCCGTACACTATAGGAAGCATCACGTTACTAACCTGCAGGTACGTGGTAGCTGGTGTGTAAATGTGAACTTTCCCTTCCTTTTCATTGCCTTGATCTTTATAGAATAGTTCCACTAAGAGATTCTTAATGGAGAGAGCTTTTCCAGTTGTCAGCTCCATAGTCAATAAATAAGTAGAATGGTGAGGCTGATGTAGTTTGTGAGCTGCATACAGATATAGCCATGGGGTGTCTATATTCAATCCACCTGGAAGGAACATATATTAAAGCTTGTAGAAGAGTGAGGTTTCAAGCTACCTGGATTCTAACTCTGCAACAAAGGTGATAAGATGCTGGGGTTTTGGAATGAAGCTACAATGCTACTATCAACCTATTCTTTTCCAATTGGCAAAATCTGTGGAAGGTTCATAATGAAATTAATGTCCTTCACTAGCATAACATACTGCATAGTGTAACACACAGGGAGGTTTGCAAATAAATTGAAATTGATGAAGTCCAGTAGCTAAATGGCACCAGGAAATGGTTCTACTGCATGATCTGCAACAAAATGTGAAATCTTTACCTGAACTGTAAGTCTGTAACCATTATTCACGTAATTATAATAATGGCCTTAATCAAAGCTGTTCTGACATATGCCAACACAGAAATTCAACTCTGCAATACATACATTTTGAACAAGATTTGTAGGTTATTTTGGAAAATAGTTTATAGACAGCTGAGAATGTTTATATCTGACAAGCTGCTGAAATTTCACTAGCAGACTGTTGAAATTTTGCTGGTTATTTATCACATTACACCATTCACTTATTGTGATATAGTTCAGTAACTCACAATTATTTTATGACAGACACTCACAAAGTAATCTCCAAATTTTTGAAACTTCAGGATTAATCTAACCTTAGTTTGTTTCACCTTAACAAGAAGACATCCATTAATTCAGTTCACGGTATCAAGCCAATTGTTTTGCATTAATAAGGATCCAAGTTTTTGCACATACGGTGTATACTAGATTTGAAAAAAATACATGTCAACAGCAAATCTACACCCTGAGCACATCATTGCCCTGATTTATACAGCTTCATCCACTGAAGCATAAATGGTGGTAGCATTCAGTCCATCTTAAGAATTAAATGCCAGAAAACTGATTTTTGGCACACCACTGGTAACTTAAACCCTATTTGAGAAAGAACTCTGAAAATGTAAAATACAGCTTATTATTATAAAGGCCTACTCCCTGCTGTACTTTACAAAGCAAAAGGTCTAAGATAAATGTGATTTTTTAAAAATATCCATACATATACACAGGTGTTTAATTTATAGCTTAAAACACACATTCAAATTCTGCTCAGTGTCCCACTTTCTAATGGTCTTAAAACAAACTGGATCACTTTCTAGACTAAAGAATTTTTTTAAAATGTGGTTCTCTTCCTGGTCACTTATCTCAGTCAAAAGCTAACAGGACATTACTGGTCTACATTAGGAGCATGGCCATCAAAGTTATCCCCCTCTGCAGAGCACGGGAGAGGTTATGTCTGCAACACTGGATCTGGTTTTGGAGCACCCAGATCAAGGGGGATGGTAAGAAACCAGAAAGGCTACAGCAGAGGGCTGCTATGATGATAAAGGGCCTAGACAACGAAACCTGTGACAAGAAGAGGGGGAGCCGGGCTTGTTTAGTCTGACAAAAGAACAGGGGAACCTAATAGTTGCCTAAAGCTAACTTGAAAGTAAATGGCAAAACTGAGGAACACAATCCCTTCAAAAGACGCAGACAATACATGGGACAATGGCCACAAATTTCACTTTCAGAGGCTAAGGAATTGCTGGAAGAGGCTAGCCAGCTAAGCTGTGGAAAGTTGGAGATTTTGAAAACTCAGCTAGACAAAGCCACAGCAGATGTGATCTACTGTTAGTAACAGTCCTGATTTGAGCAGGGGACTGGTCTAGGTAACCTCCAGGGTCTGTCTCTTCCAACCAATACTTCTATGATTCTGTTACACTCATGCAAAACTACCTCACAAAATCCCAGCAGCAATTTTCAGTGCCTGTTTTTCTAATCACAGACTGGAAACGGTTTGTGGTACTTCACCTTCCCACTTCTTCAGGCCATTTCTGGATGCATCTTTCCACTGCAGCCCAGCCACAAATGGCATGTGGTCATTATACTGCACCTCAAAGTTGGTGCTGCTCTGCAAATAAACCTGAGAGTTGTGCGAGTGCTGCAGCTGGGTTCTATAATTCACCTGTTTTTCCAGGACTTGCATGGTAAACTGGAAAACAAGTGAAGCAAATTTAAGTAAAAACAGGATCCCATCTTCAGGGCTGTCTAAGCTAACACAAACATACATACTAGCAGGAAGGTCACAGCTAGTGCCTCTGCTCTACACATTTGCCATTCACTTCATAGCTATTCATGCATGCTGATCAATTACAGATCGGGATTCCTTTAATATGCATTTGTTACATTTACTGGAGATTCAAAAAGGAAAATTTCCACTAATTTTTAGACCATTTACTTTGTTGAAAACAAACAAACAAAAGATCATAATTCTAGGTCAGTTTATGCTGGGATCACAGATAAATTCTATGCTTACAGGTACTCCCTACAGAAAATAGAATAATGACAACCCACCTCAGAAAACTATTCCCTATTCTAAGACAATAACAGAGAAGACCTGCAACTTCTAAGAAATAACACAAAAATTTACAGGAATAGTTTCTGTAGCTTCTGTAAGAACTTTCTACAAATAAACCAAAAGGGCATGCCAATATAAATAATTTTCTTTCTTTTTGTAGCCCATAGAATGTGCTTCAAAAGAAGGCATAAACCCCCTCTGAGGCTTTTAATTATACTTTACTACATGGGAAAACTTTTTACTGATCCAGGGTAGAAATTAGTTTATAACAAAAATAAAAACCAACAAAATAAAGAACAGGTCTGATCTTAGTTCAGCTACTGCATTCCATACCAACTTCCACCTAAATGCTGTAACATTCTGAGTTATGACAACCTGCACCCTCCTTCCACATTGTGTGAGCAAAGCAACCTTCATAAATCTCTGCGATCATTTTATATGCACAAACTCTGGAAAAAACTCAGACCACATTACACCCAAATTTTTTTAGTACTTGAAAAATCCATCTACTGTCTCTCTCTTGTTCATTTTAAATGTCAGTTATCTCTATTCGCCTGTGTTAAGACCTTACCTAACTCAAACTTATTAGGTCTGGGTATCTGACTTATATTATTGATACAGAACACATTAAAAAAAAAAAAAAGTCCTAATAAATAAATTCATCCCAAATTTTTTCTTAGTTTGTCTGTTAAATATTTGAAGTGAAGGTCTTACTCTTCAACGATCATGATTACCTCCATGAAATAGTTGACTAGAGATGAACTGGAACTGTTCTTAAATGCTTGGCTGATCAGCAGTTTCTTCTTGTTGTTTATTTCATCCCAGTGTTTCCCATAGTTCACTTCTATCTGGGAGGAAAGCCAAGATGCACTCGCATCATGTTTCAGGTGAACCTAAAGAACAGAAAAACACCTTCTTCCTGTAAACCATGTTTCCTCTTTCATTCACTGCTGTTAACTGCCTGTAGAAATATTCCCAAGTAGCAAGAAAGACTAAGGCAGAAAAGGTTGCAAATTTTCCAAAGAAAATCATTTTCCATCAGAAGATATAAATTCAGTGCAGACAGGCCAAAACTTTCAGCCTATGTGCTGCCAGTCTTATTGCTTTTCTCAAAGGCTAAGGTAACTTGACTCAGCTACTCCTGATGGACTGCCCCACGTGGATTCACTGTGCAGCTGCAAAGCCTGGCAAGATACTGATTCATGGGAAATCCTAACAATTCTTGGCTTCAGTCCAATTTGGACCAAAAGCAAATCTGAAAGGATAAACGAAATTTCCCTTCAATTCAGAAGCTTATTTTTCGGCCAGCTCTCTGTTTTGCAGCAGATACCCAGTATTAATGATGATTTGCCTTTAAATTAACCTTTGTCTTCATGCCATTTGTAAAAGAAGAAATTTCAACAGATCTGCTTTTCTGCATGAAAGGGTCACACACACTGAAATTTCTAAGAAAGCATACAAATCTGAACCAGAAAATTAATAAAAAACATTGTAAAATGCCTTATTTTCCAGACATATAACTTCTGATGAATAAGCAAAGAGAGTTCCTGACTTTTAGTTACAAGAAGGATAAAACAAGATAAATCATAAACTTATTAATACTATTGTTTTATATATAACAACAGTTTTCACAACAAACATTCTGCAGAATTTCTGTGAATTAATACATTAAAAATTACATCACTGGAGAGTACTATCACTTAGAGCTGTAATGGACTCACAAATTAGCAACTTGACTAGATATCTTTGTCTACACAGAAAGCAAAGAGAAACAAGATGAGAAGAAAAAGACTGATCCAAAAATGACATCTTAGGCATTGCTCTGTTTAAGCCCCTCAGTACGTGAGTGACACAAGGGTACGCAGCACACAAGTACACAAGTGCTTTGGTCAGTATCTCTACCTTGTGATTATAGGTCGGAGTCCACATACAGTGAAATTCATGCCCAATATCAAGTTTGTACATGCCATGTGCACCTGTCTCTGCTTTAATCTTTTGCTGCATACTGCATTCATGATGAAGATTTTTTGCCTCTCCTGTTCAAGTTAAATCACAAAGTTACCTATTCAAACAAATCAGAAGTAAACTTTCAAAATGTTAATAGTACAAATCTAGTGCTGGCTTCAAGGTTTCTATTTTTCAAAAACATTGAAGTGATAATTGTCTATTTTTACAGATATATACTTGTTGATTTATCCTATGAATCCAAACAAAAGCACACATTTAATGAACTGCATTTAAGAACAGTGAGTTTGTATTTGCTAGATAAGTGATTTACATCTGTGCAAATGAAAACACTACCACACTAAAAAGTAAAAGACAAGCAGATATTTAATTCATGTAAAAGGTCTCGCAGTACGTTCTTCAGTCTAAAGGTACTGACCAAAATTTGTGAAGATTGGTACCAATACTCATATAACTGCATTACCATGAAGTTCAGCTCAAGAATTATCTTCACTATCTGCTCAGGATCTAGATACATTTTACAGACTACAATGTTGTTGTAAAAACACTGTTTCTAACACCTGAACTTATTTTCCTGCTACACCTATGTCCAACCTAATAGCAATCAATACCTTTGCACCTCTGACTAGAGACATGCTGTATATGCAAAATAATTTGCAAAACTTCAGAAAAAATGCTTGGGCATTGCAAATTTTTATTTTTTTCCATAAGCTGTACTACAAATGAAAGTCCTAGGAACAGCCATGTTACAGGCTTTACATGTAAGAGTTTGGGCCTTTGTTTACTTTATACTTAATTAAAATTTAAGATGTTCCTAAGTTCATACAATTGGAAACAGCTGGTTTGTATTAAGAATGGAATGAAAATGATCCAATAATTTAGTCCAATTTTGTTTAAGAAAAGCAAAGGCTCTCCTTAGATGTTTACCATATTTCCATGCTCTTTTACTCACTTTTTCTTCAGAAGCAATAAATAAATAAATAAATAGAGAGTTTTCAAAAGAAACTTGTCCCAGGTCTCAGATCACAGTTTAAAAATCAACTGAAAACTTTCTTGCTAAGAGAGTGTCCTAATCATACAGGCAAATAACTTGCAGAAAAATGAGACAAACAGAATGCTTTTACTTTCCCTCTTTTTCACTGTACCTAGGAGTCCATATTTTATCCTCAAACTGTGAGACCACAAGCCCTCATGCTGCTGGAGAAGACTGATGACGTGAACTCCAAGAACACCTGGAAGGTGAGTCTCCCCTTCCAATGAATATTGTCTCAGCTTATCATCAACCTTTTTCTCCAGAAACACTACAAAAAGAGTAGAAGTGATTATGCAGTGGTAGAACATGATGTTACTTTAGCTAATAAAGGGAATACTACAGTGGGAAAAACACAAATACATTCAGTCTCATCCCATCTGAGGGACCCCATGATGTACTCCTTGTGTAGTAAACAAAAAGACAGAGCTGGATGTTCAGTCTTTCTCCAACTACATATACAGCCTGTAGACCGTATTTCTCAAATACTGCTTAAAGTTTAGTGAAATGAATCCAGCCAAAGCTGCTTCTAAAAGGAAATAAATTCTAACAGACTGATCTTTTAATTAACTAAGACCTTACATGAACATGTGGATATTTACTTCTACATTAAGTCAGAGCACGGTTGTGGCTTTGCAACAGAAGAACTGGTACAGCCTAGTTCTCAGGGGATAAGGGTTTGAAATGAGACCAGAACCATTTTTAGATGCAGTCACTGGCAATCCATGTGAAAGCTAAGGATGAAGATTTCACCAAAAGATGATCTTCCAAAACCCAAACTGGCATTCTGCATTCCTTAAAAGTTAGTTTTATTTGAAAATACTGCATAATCCTATGACATTTCAATGTCTTTGCCACATGGAGACTACAGTAAGAAATACTAAGGAAAAAATGAGAGCCTTAGACTTAAATTATTGGTTTATTCCACTGTATTAATTTACCTTTTAACAAATTGGTGTTATACAAATAGTAAAGCCCTCTTCCTGATACTTTCTCTTATATTTTCCTCTTAGTGTATTTGTGGGGGGGAAAAAAAAAAAAAAAAAAAGATTTCAAGATTTTTAGAACAACAGGTCTTAAGAGATGTTTAGCTACATATATGTGTTTCTGCACTGTTTTGTACTAACAGAAAATATTCTAAGAGCTGTTATTGTTTTCGCATTTGTTAAGTGATTCCTTCCATCTTATTTCCTCCACCTGCTTCAACAGTGTTGTGGATTCAGCTGGGATAGTTAATTGTCTTCCTAGTAGCTGGTACAGTGCTATGTTTTTGAGCTAGGTATGAGAAGAATGTTGATAACACACTGATGTTTTCAGTTGTTGCTAAGTCGTGTTTAGACTAAGTCAAGGATTTTTCAGCTTCTCATGCCCAGCCAGCAAGAAGGCTGGAGGGGCACAAGGGGTTGGGAGGGGACACAGCCAGGACAGCTGACCCAAACTGGCCAAAGCGGTATTCCATACCGTGTGACATCATGCCCAGTATATGAACTGGGGGGGATCACTGCTTAGGAACTAACTGGGCACTAGTAAGCAAGTGGTGAGCAATTGCATTGTGAATCACTTGTTTTGTATATTCCGATTCTTTTATTATTATTGTAATTTTATTATTGTTATTATTATCATTATTAGTTTCTTCCTTTCTGTTCTATTAAACTGTTCTTAACTCAACCCATGAGTTTTACTTTTTTTTTTTTTCCTGATTCTCTCCCCCATCCCACTGGGTGGGGGGGAGTGAGTGAGCAGCTGCATAGTGCTTAGTTGCTGGCTGGGGTTAAGCCACGACAAACAGTAATTAAAAACACACTTAAAAAACAATTTATTTATAATTCCTATTATTCTGAAATACATATTAGTACTAATTTCCCAAGGATAATAATAAAAGCACTCTTACTGATTTGAAAGGAACTTTAGAAATATGTGTCCAAAACCAGGCAACCCTAACATATAAGGGCTCCAGAACTTACATTATATGGCAAATACTTACTGTCCTCTAACCTGAAAGAAATGCAGCATCCTTCAATAAATTATTCAGGGATACTGAAAAAGCTATCTTCTTGCCAAGCTGTTTAGTGATGTTTCCTGACAGAATGATAGGACTGCTTTGCTTTATCAGCTTTACCTCCAGCTGGGTCATGTATCTCTGCTCTCTATTCAGCATCTGCAAATCTGTCATTCCCTAGAATAAACAAACAAATAAAAAACCAAAACCCAAGCCACTCAACAGTACAAACTGATCAAGTTTTGAGAAAGCAACAGTATAGACTTGGGCATTTCAGAAACGAGATGAGAGAAGGAAGAAAAGAGATTGTTTTTCTATACACCCAACGCCTCCCCTTATACCACCCCCAAACTATAAAACTTGCTGTTAGTAAATAAAGGGGAGGAAGGACCGATCTGTTTTTCCAGTTATAAAAAAATGACAGTGGTGTGAGATGCTATTTCCTTCACCTCCTGCTGGCTTCAGTAGTGACTGAAATCACTAAGAATGTTATAATACTGGGCCAAAAAATAATACGGTGTTACTGAAAATATTGGCAGTCTCACAGAGGTAACTAGATTTAGGTTGGACTAGAAGCAAATGTCACAATCTGCAATGCTTGGGTTTGTGAGAAACATCCAAACAGTCTTTGTTGAAATACTACTCTAGAAAAAAAAAAACAACCTGTAAATAATGTGCTCACTGTAGGAAAATGCAGAATGTTTGAAACTGACTGGTTTTGGAGGCCCACATAAGACATGGCATCCTGCTATGGGTATCAATTGCATAATGAAAAAATTGTTCAAGTCCTGGAATATAAACAAAAATGTCTGTAGAGTTTCAGTGATAAAATCCCACCTGCACTTTTGTTTGCTTTTTCATTTCAGATTTTAAACATTGGCATTCTCTTGCTTATTCCCCAGTGCTTTAAAAAAACCACAATTTCTGTGATATAAAGAACTGTATCTTAGAGATTCTTACATTTATATAGAGTCCTCAGATGTGAAGAAATTAGCCTGGGCTTACTCAGAGTCTTTATGCATGGTCAGAATACAGGTCTGAAAAACTGGGTGACTACACATGCACCATAATGAGCCAAAGCCCACAGGAGTCAATGTGATCTTCTCTACTGATTTAACACTGGAAGCAACCCAAAGGTTTTGAGTGCATCTGAATGTGAAAAAATCGCTTTAGATTACTTGAAGAAGCCATGCCTTAAAAGCTTTTAAAACACAGCAATTTAGCATTGAGTCTGTCTCAAAAATATGTAATGAAGAGGACTGGTAATTTCTCTGATGGATTGCTCAAAAAAATATTTTTCAATGTGTGTGTTTTTCATTGTCTTTCTTTTCTGTGCTTTTATTTAAGTATTCATCCTAGTATGAGAGCTCATGACTTGAAAACATACCTTAATGTAATATACATCTCGGTCATCTACTATCAGCTCCAGGTGTCCAATTCGTGAATTTTTAGAAAACTCAATTCTCCCTTGGAGAAAAATAAAACGGTTTACTTTTTCTGGATATATACTGTTCAGTGATGCTTCATAAAACTGTACCCAAAATGATAGTTGCCATTGTTGTGAGCAATATATTTACAGAGTAAAAATATAATAGGTATCAGAGCAAAAGAAAAAAGTTAGGAACAGAGTTTGCAAAGGCATTGAAGTGTCCTCAGAATACACATCTCATTTTGAAAGGACATTCTGAGAATACTAATTGAGAAGAGGCAACAAAGCTTCTTCCAACAAACCAGTTTAGTTCTGGAAGTGATTTATACACTTCCTTTAGGCCCATGCTAAAACTTGTAAGCTGTGTTGTGCTGTGGAGACATTTCATGCGCTCAGAACACTGTGCACGCAAAGCTTTGCACAGTGTAGGTAAATCTTCCATACAATCCATTTGAAAATAACCAAGATTAAAAAAAAAAAAAAAAAAAAATCTGGAGGGACAAATTCTAAATATGTGATATGGTAGAATACAACAAAACGAAACAAAACATCACTTGACCAGCATGTCAAAGAAGCTGAAATAAGTTGTCTATATTATTACCATATATTTATCAGTTTATATTTCATCAAAGTGTTTGTTGATTTTGTTTTCTACGTTACACTGTGATTGAAATGTTACTTTTTATTATAATGCACAGCAATATCATAGTCAGTACTTAACTGATTTGGCAACAAGTAATTTTGTATCATAACTAACAGAATACAGCAAACTAAAATTCCAGAATAGTAAATCCAGTTCAGCATCTGTAAAAGATTACAGAACAATCTGCTGTGTTTCTTAGCCTTAACTTCATCTATACTGGTAACAGCTTTCCTCTTTAACGTGAGTTTGTGAACCAAGTACTGAACCTCTGACTGTGCAAAATAGTCTTAACCAAGATGCAAAAACCACTGGGAATGCGTGTTACCTAAAGCAGTAAACTGAACGGCTATCACACTATAATGCAGTTTTAGCATTAGATTATTGACTGAAATATATTGATATTTATCTGTTAATTCTAATGAAGTTCTCCTAACTGACATTAACTGATAATCTGGTTCTTAGTTGAAAAACCTACCATGAATCTCAATTTTTTTCTTAGGTTGTATAAATCGGATTCTGAATTTCTTCTGTGGGACACTAAAATTTAGGTCAACACCAACATCCCTTTTCAAGTCTGACTTTGGAGTCCCAATGAAGAAGTGAAGGACAGCTTCATTTGGGATCCATGAGTTCTCCTGAAAGAAAGAAAGAAAGGGTAACTGTATTTGCAATTGGCAGAGCATTTACAAAACAACCTATCACACCAGGTTACATCACATGATAATAGCCACCTTCACCGCTACAATCATTTTTCACTTATCTGCTTTTCAAGTTTTTCAGCAAGAAACTTCTATTTTTCCCAGGGTGTATTTTCCATTCGCTGTCCAGTGCTTGTCTTGGGAAATGCTGTCTGAACACCTTGAATTTCACAGCCTACTGACCTTATCTTGAAATTATGCTGAATCCTGCCAAAACTTAGGGAAAAATCATACCACACTTCCAGTAATAATTTAAGCTCTATAGCTCATGGCTAAGTGACTAGAATTTGCAGGGGTGCCTTAAGCCCTTACACTCCTGTGTCAGCAGTGGGATACGGTACACGGCGCCATGACCCTGACCCTGCAGTGGGTGCCTTAGTTGACAGTTTTGGCCTTGCCCTACCTACAGACGGCAGATTTTCTGGCAGAGGAAAATGCCTGTTCCCTTTCCTGCTTTTATTAGAGAAAAACAAAATCACAAACGGAAAGTTACTCTGCTTATTGCCCTTATCTCACTGTCTCAGAGATACTGAGTGGTGTTTGAATACAGCCAAAGCCCAAATTGTCTCCCAGTAAAAACAATTAGCTCAAGCCCAGCAGCATACTTGGGCTGTGATAGAAGATAAGGCTCCAGCCACTGCCCGTGTTAAACACCTATACTATCATTTTAGAAAAAGCCATAAATTGTTACTGTCCCCTGCAGAAGCTGAAAACCATTCCTTTCCCGGGCTTGCCCAAACAAACATATTAAAACAACTGACAGCCTTCTGGAGTGGGTTCACTGGAACCTAACTTCAGCTTTTAAACAAGGTGTTTAATATAAATTAATTATTTGGGGTTTGAGGTTTTTTTTTTTCTCACAAAGAGAAACAAGTCATTTAAATGAGGCCTAGTTGTTTAGTACTGGGAACCAAGTCAAAAAATCGTGGTCTCTACTTTCAGCTTGATCAGTCTTATCTAACCAAATAACTTAATATTCATGTGCACTGTTTTGTATATGGAAATAGTATGTACCTATTATCAGCATCAGTAATTTGTTTTCAACATATTTTCCCACTATAATGGGAATGGAAATAATAATAATGTAGACCTTGAAAGCCAGTTAAGTTGAATATATAGTACTGAGATATACCATTCTTTCATCAGCATAATAAACTAAAACTAACGCCAAAGTGAAGCATGCCATAATGGTACCTGAGGAATATAGTTACATGCAGCTTCTATAATGTACTGCTGCAGGCCTCTGTCTTGCTTAGTTAATGTGACAGCCACTCTCAGAGGTCCCGTAAGGGGGAAAACCAAACCACTGGCTGGGTCAGGATATGACATTTCAGAACACAGCTGCCAGCCAAAAATCTCAGACACTGGTGGAAGACAACAGTTGAACATTCAGTTAGAACAACAAACAAAGATAACATGCAAATGAACATTGCACTGAAGACCTTTTAGAACTAATATGCAAGAAAGAAATTCTACTGAATAAGATGATCTGTTAGGGATATTTCAGAATGATCAAGCTTTCTAAGACAAATATAATAGTTAGACTCACCTCCCTCCCCAGTGCAAGATCTGGTTTCTGTATGGTCTTGGAAAACGTCTGTATCTTCCACCTCATCCACCACTGTGAAGTAGAGTTTAGAGCTACAACCAAGAATTTCAAACGGTCACATAAAAACAATTATGCTAAAGTTACAGCAATATTTAAACAAAATTTTGTTATATGCCATCTTGTCCCAGATGGGAAAAACAAGAAAGATGAAGTTCTGCTAAGGTCAGTCTACATTTCTACTAATTAGCACTGATTTTTATCCACAGTTTCCATGTTTAATCTGTCACTATCTTGAGATGCTTCTGCAGTTCTTCATAGTATTGGATTTCCCTGTTCTGAGCAATTTGGTATGGTCATCTTATTCCAACTCCACTCACTGCCTGGCTTCTAGACATTTCCCCGCCCCCCCTTAGGGTATGTATGGACATCAGTTTTGTTCCTGTCTCACAGTTCTTCCAGAACTTCAGAACTTCACTAAACTGCTTGTACAAGAATCATGGTCTCTGCACTTGATGGGAGCAAGAGCGTGAATGCAAAATCTAACAGACTCTACAGTCAGTCTTTTGTTCAAATAAAGCACAGTATAGGTTTGTAATTATTTTGACTTTCACTCTGGTCTGTCATCCATCCTAGCTGACAGAAATAGAAGTACATTAGTAAGTTTCCCAGAGTCCTAAGGGAATGGATGGTTTAAAAGCAAAGTCCAGAGCTTTTTAGCTCTTTTCTGAACTGCATATCCTATAGTACCGCAACGTCCTAAATCAAGAGAAACCCAAAGGAACAACAATCCACGTACTGTAAATACTTCATTCACCTGTTGTCATGTCTAAGAGGCATGTAGTTGACATGTCGTTTACAATATGTGCCTTCTACTTGGACTTCTATCAAATCTAAAAGTCCAAAGAAAAGAGAAAGCCAGCAGAAAAAAAAAGAGCTAAAAAGCCTAGCTTGCATTAACACAAGTAATTAATTTGCTTAACATCTGACAGTTTTTGAGGTGGTATTTTACAATGTAACCTTTACCTAGCATTAAAGAACCTAACTAAAAACTCACTAGAAGGGTATGAGCACACCTTGTTAGTACTATATTCCAAATTATTCCAGTGTTTTGCTAATTACTATTCTGTACCTGGTTTTGCTAAATACCATCTGTAGAAGTAATGCTAAGCTTTTCCTCCACTTTAATTCCCTGAACTAGATTCTTTGGACACTAAAGTTCTAGAAACAGCACTGATATTCAGTAGAAAAAGACAGGGGAGTATGAAAAATTCATTTACATCTTTTATCATAAGGCTTTGATTTGAATGTACGTTTTTATGGTAAAACAATGTAAAATGTTCAGAATAATTTCCCCTTCCTTTTCTTCTGAATGGCAGATTTGGACTATGAGTCAGACTGAAACAGTTTGTTTTCTGACAAACTGTATTTCTGCTCTATTAATAAGCCTGCCAGTTAAGTTCTGATGCAAGAAAATTATTACTTTTACTATTTTAGGAAGATATCCTTGCTTAATCTTACCTGAAATTAATTATCTCCATAGATTCTTCTGGAGTGTTCAAGAAAACTTTGAGCTCTTGCCCTTTTTTTACCTGGATTCCCCCATCAAGACTAGTAGATGTCCTCATTCCTGTTAACCAGCTTAGGCCAGCTTGTCCCAGAGTCCCCACAGTTCCCATTTGGACAGAAAGCTGGACAAACGCACTGTTGAAAGATTCAGATACATATTCTTCTATGAAAAGCACTTTCTTTTAAAAGCACTTAATTTAAACCATAGGCTGCTCATCCTCTTCAATAAATACATCGTGTTTGATGCTGTAACACAGTATATTCTAACATTAAAATCATGACAACTATTTTGTTTCAGGAAATAACTTAAAAATTGTATGTACACAGACATACACTTTCTAACATGAATTAAAGTGTAGTTTTGCTATATCTCCTAAGTAAGGGATTTGAACGCAGACTTCAGCATGAAATATCAGGAAAGGGAAAGCAATTAGGATTGAGTATCACAGTGTAAGTTTATCTCTGCCTATACAGCACTTAGTGAAGTTTAGTAAATATATTCAGTATGCATAAAAAGCTACAACAGCCAGGTAAGGAAACACAGAGTTAAATCATCCATCAGTTGTAGATCCATAACCTGTAACTGCATGTCTGATCCTGAGAAAAATAAAAAATGCCATCCCCGTAACAGGTAAAGCATTCAAAAGATCATCTGCATGCAAGCACTTAGGAATTTGATTTAGAGATAGGGAGGAATGGTCAGCTTAAAACAGTACTGAAAAAGCACAGCAATAGAGTTCAAAATCAGACAGGCACGACAGGAAACCACTGCTGTCCTTATAGGATAGCAACCATTCAGCAATATAAGGCTGATGACTGCTTGAGTTCTTCAGGAATCTCCTAATTGATTACCACGGACATTCAGACAAAACTTTCACATCAGGAATTGCTACTTGACATCAGGAATATGTGAAAGTAACACATTTGCAGCAGTTACTACCTTGGCTTGACATATCCATTTAGAAAGAAATTTGATTGTTCTTTGAAATCCGCATTCCCTTTGATTTTTATGTTGATTGCTGCTGAGGCATTGACTGCCAGCTGAACAGGCACGCCTGAAATTGCTGGAAACTGCAATTCTTCAGTGGCCAAACTCAGCCTTTTATTAAACTGGACTTCTTGCCCCTATGGTGAAAAAACCCAAACAAACAAAAACTGGAATTTTATTTTGCATAATAAAGTCATCATTCAAGAATTTTTCCAGATAAAACTACCCACTGCATTCTTCTGCTGTGAAAGTGTTTTTAACTGAGCTGATTTGGGAAATAAGGTAGAAAGCAGCCCAAAGCCTGCATCTGGCCAGGGCACAAATTAGACACTTGTCCCACCCAGTTAAAGAAATAATTATTTTTCATTTAAGCATGGATGGATTTGAATGAGAACAGCAAGAGATAAGAACCATAAGACAACAGAACAAGTCTTTGCCTAATGAATTGAATGCTGCTTAAACCCAATACATACTAGTGTCTTTTAGAGTTCAATTTAGAGAAACAGTAAGTAATATTTTGTATCTTTTACATATCTGTCAGAATGTAGTTTCTCAAGGCATCTACTTTCAAATAGAAAAAAGGTTCCTTTCACCTTCAGAAGTTTGACAGCCAACTCAGCCAGATTTAAAGAATAATGTTTCATTTGTTTTCTTAAATCTTCACAATCCAAGAAGCTAAGTTCATTTCCAAAGATCTTCATGCTTAGCTCACATTTCAACACCTCCTTTCTCTCCATTCTCTCAGTGAACTGACGTGATAAAGAAACAAATCAGGAAGAGAATGATGTTTATATTAATTTCCTTTCAAACTCATAACAAACAGTTCCTCAGTGCAGGCTATGTTATCAGTAAACTGACATTAGGCTCCCTTTTATAAATATTTCAAGACTACTTAAGACCCTGGATTAGTACCTGTTCTTTCCAGCTAAACATCAGCTCCATACCACAGAAGCTGACTTTTACTATGAACACAGGTAATGCCTAGTCCTAAGATGACTGGGCAAAAGGACAAGTATTGCAATACATACCCACAAACAGAGGAAACTTTGAAAAATACAGTCTCAATTAATACAACATTATGGGTGCCATGATTGCTAAATAAACTGCTAAGAAGTAAAAATTTTACATTTTCCCTCTTTATGAATCAATAAAACAGCAACACAACATGAACATGAGCTTCACTGTAAGAAGAAACTCTAAGATGAGTCCCAAGTAGAGATATGGTCTAAGACAAACGAAATAACTCATGGTCCCCAAGTTTTCCTGATAATACATCAACAGTTGAAGTCAATTCCCAAAGCTTTCCTGTTACATACATAGAACATAGCTCTCTCGAAACATGGGTAAATTCACAAAGGGTCAATTAACATCTGACATTCAACAGGGAAGTCAGACCACAAACAGCACAACTCAGGAACTTAATATCAAGCAGCTGTTTACAGTGCCACAGAAGTCAACAGACAAAAGGACATCAGTATAAAGAGGATCAGAGCTCAAAATAATGAGAGGAAGCCCAAAACACAGGGGACATACTCCCCTGGCTGAGAGTCATTGTTTTGAGACAATAAAACAATCTGAAAAACTGAAAATCTGGCTCTTTGTTGCTTTGTATTTTATGCAGCTGTTAAATTCTCTGCAAGTGACTGGAACTAGTTACGTATGCTTTATGCAAAGGAGTCACAGTAATACAGAGCAGTCGTCCAATGCTAGATGGGACCCTGAGTTTAACTGGGGAATGTCACTAATTTTTCCAAGATTTACAGAGTCAGTTACCTTTTTTACTAACTCACTCATCTTACTGTACTTTCTTCTAGGACAATTCTGGTTAGCTTTTCTCAACTTTGGCTTGCCAGACTTGGTCACAAGATAATCAGTGGGGCTGTATCGCTTCAAAGTCAGCTTCCTCTGGTTGACTTTTCCTGTTGTTTCCACGGGGTTTTCTGACTTGTGGTTTCTTTCATTAGTGTTTGCAAAAAAATAGTCACTGAAAGTAGCAGACTTCTGCCCAAAAATCTTCTGCATGAGAGCCTCAGCATTCTCTAATCGTACATCAACCTAGGGGAAAGCATATGGCATTGAAAAGCCTGACAATGAGATGCATAAGCCATGTCCAGTTCTACAGGCAGAAATTAAAAAAATACATCCAGATGCAACCTTTAGGTTTTTGTACAAAGAAAGATTTTTCATACATGATCACAATGATCTACAAAGTTTAGTATCCTACCTCATGTAGCATCCAATACTGGATATTTCAGTATTAAAACTTTCCAGTAAAAACTCTTTAGTTTGTTGCTAATGTGAAGCTCAGTACGAAATAAAAATCCTTTTTTATTCAGGTACTGGTTCATTTACACCATGATGGGACAGTTTGAGCTACTGCTATTTTAGCATGTTACAAACAGCATTTTGATTGGAAAACACTAACGCACCCTTTTAATGCTCCTGAAATAAGATTCTGATTGGAAGTTTGACTAAAATAGTATTACTAACACATATAAATCCAGGGCATATGACACTGAAAAAAATATATTTTGTTCCCTTGCAAGCTTAAACTGGAAATCTGAAGGCTACATTAAATTCTTTCACATACACATTTTTACCTGCAATAAAGGGTCCATATGCCAAACACTGCTTTCTCTTGGAGGCACATCAGAGGCACAATTAAAAATGATGAGGTTGCAGGCAGGCCATTTCAATATCCCAAGTACTGAATGCTCAATGAGACTAAAACAGTGACTTCAGTTAGGTATATACGACTCTACCTCCTGTATTGAAGGAATGTTGTACCCAAGACAATCCATTTTCCACTGTAAGTCAACTAAAGGAATCTTACTGTCCTAAGCAGGAGCTAGACCAGTGTCTCAGAAAGCACTGACTTTTATCTTTCATTTGAATCAACAACAAGAGCTGAACATAACTTACTTGACTAGTGTATGGTACTATCAGAGTGAAAGTGGTTTTATTATGACTAAGTCCATTACACAAAAGAGTCATGAGTCTGAGGCAACTTTGCTGTAGCAGTGAAAAGCATACCTTGCTAAAGGAACTGTAATGGGAAATTAGAAAATATTTCTTTTTACTTCAATACACCAAGTGTCCCTTGAGGAGGGGGATAAAAAAAAAAAAATCCATAAACTTGCCTCCAGTAGATTTATAGCCTGCCCCATAAGGTGAACAGTCAAATTTGTCATGACTGATCGTGGTAGAAAAGATGCAGGAGAAAAGACCACTGATGCTTCCATATTTGCACCTGCACCAGCTGCAATAGAAAATAACAGATGTCTGTCATTTGGAGATCAGCTATTCTTATGTACTTTGCAAGTCTCATCGTTCTTTGGAAAACTGCAACTCTGCTCATTAAGAAGATGAATAAAACAGGTGAATAAAGAAGGTGAATAAAACATTAAGTCAACAGATGAAATTATTCAACTTTTTACTATAGCAAAGACTAACAGACATTACTGAAAGCCTGTTATCTGACTAACACTAGAAGAAGAGCATTTACAATACATATCGTACACAATAGCACTGGAAGAGATGGACAGAAAATCAAAATGTTACTCTGAAAAATATTATCTAGTGTTTTTGCTAAAAACAAATGATGAACAAACAGTAAAACAGGAAGGAATTAGCCTGAATCTTTTCTTATACCAAGGGAAGTACATGAATCAGAAGAAAAAAAAATACATCCCAATCCCCTGTTGCTGCAAAGGAAGCTCACTAAGGAAGGAATCAAAAGTTGATGTTCACAAAAGTATTCTAAAAAGTTCATTGGCTCTTATTCTCCTCTCTCATAAAAGGCAAAGTTCCATGGTACCTGGCTTGCTGGAATTACATTTGATATACTCCAATTAAGGTCAAAGCAGAATCAAGCCTATATTTGCATATCTGGGTATGTAAAAAATGTAAATTCTCTAGAGCAGAAAAGCCATGTGGGATTTTAATAATCCATATGCTACAAAGCATTCAGTTCTAAAACTCCACAAACCTGAGTGGAACGTGACATCGGAATATGATGAGTATTTCCATGTCTCCCGGTCAAAATCTCTGCTAAGGATTTCATCAGGAATAGAATCTCGAAGGTGCTCCTTCAATGGATCATCCGTCTCCAGGAGCTGAGAGAGGTGACTCCAAACAAAGGAGCCCACTTAAATTAAACAAAGAGGAGCATTTGGAAATTAGAGAAAAATTAAAACAGTTTTAAAAAATTGATACAGGGAACCGTTTCCCTGACCACAACAGAATTCATTCATTTTCAACACCATTAAAATCAGTCTGATGCACCTATCTTTATGACAGTCAACTTATTTAAACACTGTCTTATTCTTTCCTAGTTTCATTTATGCTTCTCAGCTAACCTAGGCAGAAAAGGAGGTAAGGTTAACCTACTTACGCACTGTCTGCAAAGGATCTTCTGTACTAAATTCAAAGGAATGCTACAAAAAAAAGATACAATTCTAATACAGATGTTAGAGGCAGACTATGCAGCTCAAATAATATTGGACTGTTTCTGTTCTTCAAAGAACAGATGCAACAGAATTATTTAAAAGATGGTTTTAAACTTCAACTTTGGCAGCATCACTCATTTTGTTCTTGAAAAATCACTGACCCACTGTACTGAAACATAAAACAATTAAGTCTGGGATAGACAGCAAGCACATGAAAATCTTAAAATAACTGTTAAAAACTATAAGCAGGAATAAAAAAAGCCTTTTAAAGGCAAGCATTAAGCAACTTTAAATATAGGGAGGTCTATTAATCAGACACCCTACATGAACACTGGCAACAATATTGGTGGACTTGTAAGAGAAAATTGGCAATAAAGTTTCTTTACATACAACAAACAAATCATTCCAATACAAAGAATCTTTCTATACTGTGCAATGTACATTTCCAAAAGCAGTTCCAAAAAGAAAAAAGAAAAAAAAAAAGCAGCACACACAGTTAAACAGTTGTGATTCAGAATTAATATTTCTGCATGACACCATGCTGATTCATGGTTTGGCCATGTATGCACTGTGCTGTAGGGGGCAAACATATTCCATGTGTTCTGGAGTCTGGTTCTTAAATAGAAGCTTTTTTTTCTCCTGAAGATAAAAGATATTGGGCTCCAGTGCTAGTTCAATGCACAGACAGTGAATACTGATATAACTGCATTTTTCACAATACAACTTCTTTTGTTCATGTTGCTTTTTCTGAATGTGGCAACTAAAAACTAGTATGTGCTCTATGCCTCCAAAAGCACTTGTTACTCAAAAGTCCATTATATGAATTATTTAGGTGTTACATCAGCCGAAGAAAAAGGAAGGAAATTAACAAAATTCAGGAGTATTGCATTAAATTGTTTAAAACATACAACATTTTAGATGGACCTATGGACCTCTTTCATAAATCAGGCAATTTATTTCTTTTGCACGGAGCCACAGAGGAGAGTGGGGGACACCTTGACAGTGTTTTGCAGGCTTATGCAATTTCTCTCTGTCTGAACTCTAAACAGAGGGGAACAAGTCCTGTCCAAACCACAAGCCACATCATCAGATGAAGACAATGCTGAGCCTGAACTCCTAATGGCTGCAGGATATACTGGTCTGGACATAACATCCTGATAAAATGGATACATGGCTTCAAGTTCAGAGCTGGCTAGGATCCAGACACATCAGAGTGCAGACAGAGCCTCCTTTCATCTGCCTGCAAACAATCTTATAGATACGCCTTTCATGTTTGCTCCTTCTTGACAGATTTAAAAGCAAAGGATTAGTTTAGAGGTATTCTTTGTTGAATGTGGTACAACAATTCAGAAAAAAACCCTCCACCCAAAATATGGGATCAGCTTAAACATCTGTGTGCTTTGGTAATAAAGAGCTTGTAGGATTCTACGCTTTTATGGAACCTACAGTTTCATTTCATACTACCCCAAACGCCTTCTCCTTCAGATAAGCTACTTAAATAAAATGATTACTTTTAAACATAGTATAGATTTTCTACTCGGCATCAGTTCTCAATTCAGTCTCTCATGTCAGTAATCTGGCTCAGATCAGACAATAATTGATCATGGAACCACAGAAGCAAGAAGCATAAATCAGAATAAACTATCAATAATTAAGACATTATACTTATGCTAATCTTTTCCCCATATGGCTGCTACACTGTTGGCCAGCTATTATACATTTGGATATATGATTAACACCCCTCACAAAGTCCTTTTCGCAACATTCCTAACACAACATGTCCCAGTTCCCACATTTTGCTTTTTCCCTGTGTTATAAACAGTTTCTTGATGCCATTTGTTTGCCATTAGATCCACAGTTCTCAAACTGTGACCCTTGGGACTTTTAGTTGACCTGAAGAATCGCTTCTGGCACAGTGACGAAGCACCTCCTGCTAAGCCTTGATGCTAACTGCAGGAAGCCTTAAAGTTCCTAGATACCTTAAATCATCTAAATGAAAATCAACAGGCCTTTCTTTGCAGTCTTCAGATCTGCTTAGTTTCTGTCTAACGCTATCTTTAAATGTGATACTGTGATCAATATTAAGACCATATCAAAACTGATATAAAATAACTGCAAAAGAAGACAGTACCAAAGAAAGACCATGGTAGTGAGTCCTTATAATAAATATTTGTATTACATCAAGTAAACAAATGCAAACAAGGAATTTAGGAGCATTAAAAAGGTAATTAAGGATATTTCACTTTATACCTGCAGCTTGCAATACTTTTTTCTGCCACTTGTGTCTTTCTCAACCTAACAAAATATAATTTGCAGTTATCCATTTATATTTCTAATACACTAAACATCAAAGATGTTCCATGCATTTCTTTCTCAAGAGCATTCAGCTAATGAAATGTTGCCAGTAGAGGGAACTAATTCTGTGAAGAGTCACTCTTTACTGACTATTTTTAAAATAACAGTATCACAATTCCTATACAAAATGTGGCAATCATACAAATAATCTTTTAAAAATGACCTATAAAGTATTAAGATTAATTAAAAATTGATATAGATTGGTACCACCACACCTGTAAAGTAAATCTTACATTGATGTATCATTTAGGAATCTGTAAGATTTCAGTAGTTGCTTGGCTAACCTTGACTAGATGTTTCTTTCAGCAAAGTCTTCTGTACTTGTTTAAATAACTCTTCATGCGGACATTTCATTGCAATATAATAAGCAGCAATCCTTATTTCCACATCTTCGCTGGTTGCTTGATACAGCTGAACTAATATAGCATTCTAAGACAAAAAGATAAAAAGATAACCAAAAAAGAAAAAGACAATTATTATTTACTCCACTAAAACACCTCATGTATGCACTTTCAGGTACAGGTAGGTTTTTCTTTCTGAAAGAGATAGCTATTGCTTTATACCTGACAAAGTCACTTCATGCAACACGTATACAAACATATGTATATATTCTCTATACTACCTCGTCCACAAATTTCCAGAACAAACTGTCATTATGACCTGAATCCTATACCAACTAATTTATTCAGGACTGTCTGCAACACAAAACCTCACTTGCTGGCACAACTGTTAATGATGGTTTAATTCCACCACCGGGGAGAGCTGTTCTATTATATTTCACAGCTAATACACACACAACACTGGCTACATTTTTGTTAACAGGCTGTTAAGATCATTACTTCTCGTCTCAATCAAAGGGTAGGACTGTAACAAATTTATTCTGTTCAATACTTCCCCAGTATCAACAAATACGAATTGTTTGGTCAACTGCCAGGAATTAAGACATTAGTGACTGATACTAGTAACATTTCTATTATCATTTAACACCCCCAGTCCACCTACAGGGTTTCAGTTTAGCAGTTCATTTGCTAGACAATGATGGGGTGTATGACGACATATAGACTTCATACTTTCAACAGGTCTAAGGAGCAACACCGAGCTTTGTAACTACAGAACAAGAATATTACGCCAATCCATGCTGCAATTAAATTTTAAAAAGCCATAGAAAATGCTACTCCAAGTGGAATTCCATGTGGAACCTCTTGTTCTTCTGGAGGAGGACTGCCAGCTTTGCCCAGGCTAGCACTCCTGGCTTTGAAATTCTTTTTAGTATCAAGTTATTTGAGAGAAACAACTTTTGTGTTTTCTTCTATTAAACCATTAACAAAATGTTCTAACTGTGATAGCATATTGCCAATCACAACAAACTTCTCACATTAATACTTAGCATTTCAGAGAATGATACAGTGCAACAGACTATAGGAAAAATCAAGTACTGTGGGTTTTCAGCCATCACCCACACAGACATAAGTCACCCAACTGAAGTAACTTTTTAAGAAGTCACAAACATTACCTCAGTCACTGGATGTGTTATCTCAACTACAACAAAGCATAATATAGGTCCATTCATCGGGGTGGTCCTACCAACCTCTCCAACAGCAGAAGAGCTCTGCTGGAAGACACGTTTACACTTGTTCCTTATTTATTTGCATGTTTCATAATTATTCCAGAAAGTCAAAACTCTGGGACAGCACCAGGAAGCCGTCAGTCATCTGCTGGCAATAAATCACTTACCCTGACAGAACAGGGAATGCGCCTGAAGGCCTGGATAGCAGCTAGACGAATTTCAATCGGATTACTTTTCAGGGAAGCACACAAGCTCAGAACAGGAGCTAGCGAAGCTGCTGCCAGTCCCGCATTTCCAATGGCTTTTAACACCAGTTGCATCTGTAAATACAAAGCAAGGTAGAATAAAAAGTTCACCACGTTGTCAGCTGTACATGAAATTCTATTGCATTAACATTTTCTGTGGGAAAAAAAAAATTCTCTCTTTAAAATGATTGTGGGTCATTTGGGGTGTTTATTGCAGCCCCTATTGTACCAGCTATATTCTGGCTTTAGTGTGAGCACAAGACTCATATGAATATGGCCAGCTGTTCTAAGGCCACACAGTACTTGTAATTAAAATCTGGCTTAGACCTGGTGGAATACAAAAGCTACATTGTGATGGAAAAGCAGAAGTCATGGATCTGATGTGCAGTAAAAGTTTTTCAAGTACTTCAATATTTTGTCCCTTTTGATCACAGTAATTTTGACCTTCTAGTGATTCAGCACAGAGTTCTGGACACAATAACCAATTTAAAATAGTAATTTGTCAACAGATGCCATAATGTTACCAGTTTTCTCCACTAAACATACATGAAACCTGTGCACCTTCAGAACCCAGAAAGCATGTTACCACTGGCAATCAATGAATCTTTAATGACAAGCTATGTTAAAGTTTAGAGCCCAGGGACTTCAACGCAACATCGTGCCTGATTTTCCTTTTACCGACAGTCCCCTAGAAACAACTATACTGAAGCCAACACAGTTAAAATGTTCAAAAACCTTCCACAACTGTTGGGGTCAAAGACTTCCATTTATTGCTGGTTTGAGACATCAGGTGGGAGGTATCTCCTGTTCTGGTCTACGTATTCAGTAAAGTTGTCATAGTCAAAGATACCTCTCCCGCACGTCTGTATATTCACTCACTGCAACATGCTGCTGAGTTTCAAGAGGCTGCTCTTCATTCATCAGACAACGGTGTTTCAGCTGTAAGTTATGGAACTGTTTTCAAGAAGCTAATGAGACTCGGGCAGTCTTTCTCCCCTGTTCATCAGTTCCCTGTTCTGATTTACTATTCTGTTGGCTAATTTTAATCAGATTTGTTGGAAGACAAAAAGGGTTAAAAAAAGCAAAGTTTTCATGAAAAAGGCAATTGGGCATGTGTGCTAATTTTGGCTGGCATGGAGTCAATTTTCTCCACAGCAGCCTGTATGGTGTTGTATTTTAGATCTGTGACCAAAACACTGTTGATAACACAACAAAGTTTTAGCTATTGCTGAGCAGTGCTTGCACAGCATCAAGGCTTTCTTTGTTTCTTACTCCACCTGCCCAGCAAGCAGGCTGGGGGTGGGTAAGAGGCTGAGAAGGGACACAGCCAGGACTGCTGACCTGAATTTACCAAAGAAATATTCCAAACCATATGGCATCTTTCTCAGCAATAAAACTATGTGTGTGGATGGAGTGGGGGTGGTTCCAAGGTATCCACTGCTCAGGAACTGGCTGGGCATCAGTCTACTGTTGGTGAGCGATTATTTTTGCATCACTTTTGGGTTTTTTGGTGGGTTTGGGTTTTTTTTTGTGGGTTGGGGGGGGGGATCCTTCACTTACTAAACTGTCTTTATCTCAATCAATGAATTTTCTCAGTTTTGTCCTTCCAATTCTCTCCCCCATCCCACTGCAGGCAGAGTAAGCAGGTGGCTGTTTGGTGCTTAGCTGCCTACCAGGGTTAACCCACCACAGTAGAGCCAAGAAGTTAGTGCCCTTCCCCACAGAGAAAGTTTGCAATATAAACCGAATAGACATTTGCTTCATTTGGTCAACTGCTAGCAAACTGGCATGTATAGGCATCCAGTCCAGCAGCACAATCCTAGCTTGGAACTATCCATATGGCACTGTCCTTGCCCAGCTGGCAGCAAGGGATGTAAGAGTAAGCATGGAGAGAGCAGATGCTCAGGTGACCATGCCAATCCCACTGACAATCCATTAGCAACATTGATATCAAAGCTTCTCTTGAAAATACCACTCCACATCCACCTCTGGGAACTTAAATGGCTGTTTTTATTTTTTTTATTACTTCTTTCTAAGGGCTCAGCAGAGACCAGTGAGGCACCTCTGAGAGACATGAGACCACTCACCAGTGCGGTGATGCCTCTTTCCGATGGAGAGCACAGACTTTAAAAGATACATCACCTATTCCAATTTTTTCTAATGAGAGTGATGTAACCCCAAACCATGTAAAATCCCAATGCTACCAAAATGAACTATGAAAATTTCATACAGCACATAGTAAGAAACTGAAAACATACACAGAAACTATGATTCTATGGCTGATGGGAAGACAAAAAAGTTCAGCAATGGAATCTCTTTTGTTTTTTCTAATCAAAATTTTGTTCAAGGATCCCAATACATAAAATCTAGTTTTTTAAGTTATTCCTTTAATAAATGGTGTAAGAATTAAAAGTTAACAGACTGCTCACACTGTATGAAGAAAGACACAAAACCCATGTGTTTAGTTTGCACACTGGAAAATTAGAGAGACACAAATACATGAGATAAACTCAGCTCTTGGGCTCTTACTGCTATGTGATACACTGTCATTGGTATCTCTATTTTCTAAGCATGATAAGGAAGAACCGATTGTTTAAGTAGATCATCAAACTTAAGATATAATGATATTTCTTCAGCAGCAAATGTCAATTAAAGATAAAAAGCCCCAGAACTGTGACAGGAATTACTCCTAACTCAAGATCACACACAGCAACTAAGAACGATTTTCCTCTCCTGTTAGTCTCCCAATACCATGACTGACTTACAGCCAGTAACACTGTGACTCAGCAGAACTTATTAGCCAGCAATAACACAGCTAACACTAACTGTACAAGATTTGAGTCAAAAAAGGAATAGGAAACTTTCAACAATGTGCCATTTTTACAGGGGAGTGATGGGAGTTCTTCATACCGATCAACAGTATGAAGTTTGCTTCATCAGTAGACCCAAGACTTTCCCTTATTTAAACACACAAGAACACCCATGCTGATAGGTTGTACTTGTTGGATTACAAAATTTTATCTGCCCATCCTACCAAAGAATATTCATTTACAAAGCTTGTATTCATGGCTTTCTGGAAATCCACTGAATGCCATTTTCATCAAACAAGTTCTAGATCATAAAGTGAATAGAAAAGTAAAGCATTATATCATATGCTTCTGTATGACTGATACCTCAATGAGTTGTTCTGAATTTTGCACGGTACAATTTCCTCCCAAAAATGTCCCAAGAGTCCTCATCACACTCTGCACAGCAGGTACACCATCACAGGAACTGTAAGCTGAACAAAACCTATGTAAGAGAGCAGTTACTCCTAAGAAGCAGCTCTGGCTTGCTCCTGGTGATTTCAGCAAAGGCTGTAAACAAGCAGAAAAAGAACAGGGTGTTTCAGAAAAGTGATTGTCATGATTACTGTAATATGCCACAGAAAATAAATGCATCAAAATATTTAAATGCTAAAACTCAATCTCAACAATGCATATTTACAAACAGCCCTTAAAGGACAACTCTGCAGAGATATAGTGGAAAATTCTTCCACCTTCACATGTAAACATACAGGCTAAATTAGTGTCAACATGATATAGACCTCAGTTCTTTTCACAAGAACTCATGCCCTGTGTGCTTAGGAAGGAGTGTGAAAACAAATCTAAACTACTTTCCAGGACACTCAAAATAGTAAAACACCCACCAGTACAGTTTCTCTAAGTCCCACCTCAATACTTAGCAAAAAGCACTGACAGGTCAGTAAGTCACAGGCAATTTACCCATTTTTAGAATGAAAATTAATTTTTCTGTCCCATAAACCTGCAAATTCCAAATTTCTGTACTCTCTGAAGCAAGCCTGTTAACTGTTGAAAATCCCACCACTTCAACCAACGTTTGCGAAGCCCAAATTAACTCAAGATGAATTATTTCACGCAGATGCTGTGGAAAGCCTGCTAACACTGAGAGCTGGTTTTTGTAGTTCTGATCAGAACCAATATGACTGGGAACAGCAGGCTGTGATATACTCCGCAAGATTCTCCATGGCTGATCAATGGTTCATGAGCACACAAGTCCAGCAGGCATAACATATTACTTACTTAAAAAAAAAAAAATTCTTAATGGCTTATTTAAGCTACAGGACTATCTATGATTTTACTGCCCAGAACTCTGCAGCTTCACAAAACAACATAGCAAGCCCAACTTCAGACTCCAAAAGCATGACAGATTACACTGTATAAACCCAGCAGAACAACAGATCTTTAAAGGAAAAATATAGTACAAAACGGAGCCAGTATTACTCTGCATACAATTAACTTAGTTAAGGAAAAATGTCAAAAGCTGCAATAGCACTGCATATACAAAGGACTGAAATGTCTCCAGGTGCTAAATACAAAGCTTGTAACAGACCAAATCAGAGAATAAAACTCTCTATCCAAAGCAGGGAGTAGCTGCAACAGCATCATTCTCCTCACACTGACCTGACCTTGAACCTCAAAACTAATTTGCCTAAACCAGGCTCTGGAGTCCACAGGGCAGTTTACACTTTTTTTTTTTTTTTTTTTTTTTTTTAAATAAGTCTCAAGGCTACAAATGCAAATCTAGCTCCAGTGACCAAACATAACTGCATCCTCTTTTGGAATCAAAATTAAAATAGCCAGTAGTTTCACCACGAAAATTACCTGGACAGATAGAGTTTTGTATAAATCTGTGAAAAAGACTATTACTGTAAAATACAAAAATTATGAGCCGGCTAGATTGATGATAAACTAAAAAAGAAAAAAACAACACCCACTCACAGCAAGAGATTCGATCATGCCTGAGGTGGGTTTAGGAATGAATGAAAATGACCAGAAGAAGTATTCCACTTTGTCTTCTTCAACTTCTCCGGACGCTATAATTTCTTTCATTAGGACAACACATGCCTCTGTAGCACAAGATGGGAGAGCCTCTATTAGAGGCTGCCTGTAACACAAGAAAAAAGTACAGCAAATCTAAAATGACCAGAATACTCAAGAATCAAAAAACAAACACATTAAGGTTGGGCTTCTTTCAAAGTTCATAAAAGTCCACTGGCTTAGCAAATGCCAGATTCCACAGAAATCAACATTATCCTTTGGTTTAGTGACCTTAGGGAAATATGCCTCAGCCAAGATGCGATGAAGTGTATTGGTGTTTCAAGAACTGTATGTAACCAGGCTTTTAAGAAAATACTCAGTTGCTTTCTCTGAAAATGAAGCCAAAACATATCCCAAGTTTGACTTCTAAAGACTGAGGTACCTTAAAGCTCTGATTTTTTATTAAGGTGGGTTTTTTCTTTCATTTCACCAATAACATGAAAATATTAAAACTGAATTGACTAGCTTCTACTTCCTGTGCTTTTTTAGACCTTATGTATGTGGAACGGTTACACCAGCACGCCAGACAATACACATTTCAGCTCTTAACAGTCCCTCTGTAAATATTCTGTACCTACTTCCTATACCGGTGGACGGACACTTTTGCATTAAGCAGTTAAACTAAACTGGGTAAAAGCACTTGCATCAAAGTAAGAGAGTAGTCTGCATGGGATTCTTTTTAGCTCCTAAAGTTAATAACCTTGTCCTGAGTAAAATTAGTCTAAAGTTAATATAGAAGGAGGCAGAGTAGTTTAGATTACTATCTAATATTTAAGAATATTAGCATGACTATTTGTCAAAAGGTGAGAATAAACCTCAGCCAAAACAAAATTCACCCCTTTTGCATGAAGTTTAAGATATTGTTACAAACATAAAACTTGGCATTAGATTAATTTCAAATAGGCTGATGACATTTTGTACTGAAACCTAAGGTATTGTTACAAACATAAAACTTGGCATTAGATTAATTTCAAATAGGCTGATGACATTTTGTACTGAAACCAAGTAAAAAAAAAGTTTCTTTGTTTACACTCTTCAGACTATTGATTTTGGAGGGAGAAAAAAATTGTACTGATTTTAATAATACTGGATTAATATTTCTGAAAGTCTCAAACCATTGCATCAGAACTATTCCTGACTGCAGAGGAGCGGGTGCCTTGATCTTTAAAGCTGCAGTTCAATGATCGGTATAAACCATCCTGAGATCAGGCTCCTGCTGAAAGATGTGGGTCCACCATGTCCATACTCCCAGCCTAATGTTTGTCTCCTCTCCCCCACGAGTACTAAGGGCACTGAAAGAACAGGTCCAGGTAAGCTTTTTCATAACAAATGGCAGTAGATGCTTAAAACCAGCAGCATTGATTTCCATCTAAGCCATGGCTCAAGTTTCCTGTTCACATTGTTCCTGAAACAGGAAGTCTGTCTGTAGGAATAGGCATGGGACAGGAAAGTCTACTTTGTACACAACATTCATTCAGTAAGGAAAGAATATCATCCTTCTGTCACATAAACAAGATCTGCAGTACACATTCTTCCTTTAAAGTGCTCCAAATTTAAATCCAACATTTGGGCACGGATTTAAAACATTAATCTATTTTAAATATTTACATAACATTTCTTTCCTCTCTCTATATATTTTTAATGCAATTACTAAAGGGCCCTTACCAGTTGTCTCTGCATTTAAATGAAGATCTTTGCCATAGCGCTTTTAAGGCCTCAAGAGAAAGACGTCGAAGCTCAAACACGAGAGTCATGAAAAGATCTGCAGTCTGTAAGACAGCACAACAACAAATGTAATATTATAGCTGTGCAGAAACCAGCTTTAGAGAACAGAGCACAACAAGAGACCTTGGGTTATACCAGCACTGCCATTGACTTAACAATGTAACCTGAGAGTAAAACCTCCTCTCTTCCCTGTGTCTTTATCTTCCTTCCCTCCCTTGCTTTTCTCTTCAGGCTGCAAACACATAACGAGAAGGACTTTCACTTAGGATGTCAGTCAGTCCCTCCAGCAACAGTGCTCAGTGACCACTAAGCACCCCACTAGCACACCAATGAATACCAAACCAAAATGCAGCACTGTGGTTACAATCCAGAAGAGGAGGCCATAATCTTCTCTGAGTTTGTACAGCAAGATCCTGATTTATGACCAGAATCACTGACATAGCCTTAACACAAAATGAGACAATAGTCAAGGTAACTTTCTATTAGTCTTAAGTTTATGAGAAAGATCATTTAACTGAGGTTTGGACAACACTTCAGTTTTGCTCGAGTACCTCTAGTGCTGTGTGAAAATATTCCATCTTACTGGGGAAAAGCCCAAGCATAACCGCTCTTACCTCTGCAGGCAGCACTGGATTAGTTAAAACAATAGTAGCAGAAGAGCTGTTCTCCCTGACTAAGCTCAATTGCTACAACATACAGCAGCTATTTTACCTGCAGTACATTATCACACACGCTTTTCAGCGTAAATAAATTCTAGCCCTTCATTCACAAGCTGCCCCTTGCTGTCGTGGGCAAAAATGAAAAACTTACTTTAGGGTTACTTCATTAAAAAAACCTAAGCATTTTGATCTAGCTGTACAGTTAAAGCTGAATAGTTCAATTTAATAATTTATTTGCATGTGCATGGCTGAAAGAAATTAAAAGCAATTCACAGTTGACCCACACTTTTCTGTTAAGTGAAGTAGCTACCTGTAATAGACTTCACATTTAAAAAACCGCTCACTTCCACCCCCCACAATTTATATGGCAGTATCAGTGTCCTATCAGCTGAAACAAATATTTTTCAGAAACTACTGTCTCGAGGTACGTTTGGATGTGTATTACATTGCCAGCAATAATTTTTATTTTCTCAAATGTGATGCTGGAAATCAAATTAATCAAATATTGAATTGAACTGATTGCATTATCAAGACGACAGAAGCCTTTCTGTTTTTATGGAGTACAAATCTTTCAGTGTCATCCTGACTCAAACTAGGCTCTGTATTACCTATCTGGCCTATCCTCTGCTGAGAAAGGAGGATCTTTTCTCCTTTTTTCAGATTATTTTCATTTGCACATACAGTATTCATTGCATTGTTATTTTGGCCTCAGTAGAAGCTTTTTGGAAAATGGTGTTTTAAAGACTAAATAGCATGTAGATGTGTTCCTCTGAAACCTGATCCAAAGTTCAAGAAAGGAGATAGGTCTCATTAATTAAAACATTAGAAGAATGTTAAATACAGTAGCTTGTATGTTCATTTTAACATAACTTTGCAATGTACAAGTTTTAATCATGGTCCATGTCATACAGATTCACTTCAATTCTTTATTCACTTCAGATGTGAAAGGCTTAGACATAGGACTACTGCTCTGGTTCCAAAGGAAACATTCTTCTTCGTGTAAAAATCATACAAACAAAGTCTAATTCCACTAAGTCACATTTTCAAAGGTCTGGGGAGAGACCTACTTTGACTTCCTGACCTTCCTTCCAGGAGCTGCTTCCAAAAGCAATGAAAAATTGGAATAACCCAGTGCCAGCATTTGATTTCAATTTAAGACTGCCAAGACATTTTCAGTAAAAAGAAGCTGTCTTTCAGTAAGAAGATGGAGTAATTTCCTACTGTGTTGTTTGATAGGCTGAGGGAATAATTTGTCAGATCCAATACAAACATTGTTTATGTTTTTGTTCCTTTTGGACTTCTTTTCTTTTTAGCAATACTACATTAATTTCATCAAATTGAAATTTATTCTCGTATATGAAGCCCTACCTAGGTATTAATTCCGATAACATTTATAATTCCATTGCTAAAATTCAGTTAGATCCCCATGTATTGCATCCCATCCCATCCCATCCCATCATTACCTTTAAGGTCTCTTTTAAAAAGAAATTACCAAACTCTGAACACTATGGAGCTAGTGAAACAGATTACATTTCATGGTCTATAAAATAGTCAGAGAACTGTATTTAATGAAGCTCTTCAAAAGCATTTGTAAAACACAGGCCTTATGTGCTTTTTACACAGGCAAATACACTATGGGCAGCATGATTAGGGGAGATGGGGAGCCTCACAGATGTCATCACAAGGAGCTGCATGTGCAGCTGCTGATGAGCTCAGGTGGCTCATCAGCTGGAGGCCACAGCACAGTTCAAGATAAAATTTCCAGACTAATAGATTTTCAGGTGATGTAATTTTAGACTGTAGACTGACTTTATTCTGCTTCACACCTGCTGACTAGACAAGCTCCCATCTAATAACTCAGTGCAAACTTTTGCACAGAAACAGCTATTTTTACTTTCTAATAATAAAGCTCTAGAACGAACTGTCTGGTCAGATGGGCTGTTTTTATTTTTTAAGGTAGGTTGCATTGAAATTGAGCTGTCAGATAAACAATAATCTCATTGTAAATTCCTCTATTTGTAGTATCGTAACAACAAACTATATGCAAATTTGGCTCCCATTCCCACCCCTAAATAAAACAGAAGGAAGCCTGGCTTTTATTCTACATAGAAGCTTGCTTTTCCTTCTATCTGCAGACTTACTGTAACTCTATTTAAAAAAAAAAAATAATAAAATACAATTCCTCTGAAAGCATAAACATGGGATAGTTTAGATTGGAAGGTAAAGTAGTAAAATGTTTCCTAATAAAAGTGTTTCTATTTATGATATAAAGAAATATTTACCCTTTGAAAGCTTGACACCTTATTTGCTGCCAAGTATAAGCCCACATAATCACAAGGGAGGCTGCTTTGAAAATGTGTTCAATGAACATCTTTGGTTTTGCCTACTAATTCATGTTCTCAATGAAAGTGTGAGGCCTTCTCTCCAGTAAATTTAGTATACCTCTTTGGAATTACATAGCTGTCTTTTCTGTATGGAACTTCTGGTCTTCAGCTGTCTGATCTCTTTTTTCAACTATACGTATGTTAAAGAACAAGTGATTTCCTTGAATTGAAGGCCAAGCATGAAATCAGATGGAAGTGACACACTCTTCTCCCTGAAGTCCACTGGTTGAACAGCTATGGTTATTCCCTCCCTGCCATGGCATAAATTCCCTTCCTTCTGATCCTCATCAGTTCTTTCTTATTTGGTTTCTCACCTTGCCAGTGAACCTTATTTCACCCTCAATTTCAGGAAGGATGTAATTGTGCCTGGTCATGGACCAGGTTTAAGTGACCTAACAGGCCATTCCCAATACTATCTTCTAAGGCTTTCCAACTCAAAGCAGACAAAGACTTCTGTTCCTGGTAAAGTTATTATTATAGTCATACAGAAAAGTAACAGTTGAATTTCAAGAAGCAAAATCATCCACGTAACTACAGTATCTTAATTCATCTTGATAATCAGAACATCTTCCTTACCTGGGAAATACTCTGTTATACTCCCTACACCCACAAGTATTCTAAACATGTAAATCCTAGCACCCAACTATGTAGTAACTAGGAATTAGAATGCCTTATGAGAAAAACATTGGTAAGACCATGTCCTAAAGGTAAACTCTTTTGGGTCGGACGGGGTACAGGAGTTGGACAAAGTAAATCTGACATACTCTGGCCCACACTCCTTAATGCATACACAGCCACATTCACCAGAGCTACCAAAACAGCATCAAAATCCAGACAGCCAAATGTAATGCAGTCCCCAGTAGAAGCTGTGTGACAGGTTCCCTTTAAGCCTCTCTCAAGTGAGGGTCCCTTTCTCCCCATCCCTTTTGACCATTCTTTGTCAGTATGCAGCTTGTTCACTTAATGGTCCATTAGCTAATCTACATCCACATTGAAATTCAATCTTGTCTCATAATAGCATTAAAAAATTAAACAACAACTTTGCTTCCTTGGAAGTGACACAGTCTCCACCCCCATTTTCTTATCCCTTCACTGTTTTCCCTGCAGCTGGGGATTTTCCCTTCCATTTATTCTTGGGTTTGTGTCCCGAAAGAAATGCATAATCTCATCTCATTCAGAGTCAAACAATAAGGGGACAAACAAGCTATACATGCGTAACAGCGGAGCTGTCTCCCAAGCAACGCGGTGGGCATTCCCATAACTTCTTTCCTGGCCCAAAGGACATTTTATCGGTTGGAATGAGGGATAATAAAGATCCCCTTTGAAATGTATTGTCACACAGAAGGAACACCCTGAAACAGTGAAAATGGCTGACAACCAATCGAACCCTGTGCTGGGACAGGCAAATGATGAATAATTCACCTCTTTTTTAGGCAGTGGCGCAGACAGCAGCCACTTGTGCTAATCTTAGTAATTTACAAAACAAATTTCCCACACATGAAGCCAGTGGGCCTCTTTGGAGACAGAAGTGACATCCCACTGTTACTGGGAAAAAACATCTACCATTCTTTCAAAGACACTGAATTATGGGCATTCAAAAGAAGGTAGGATCTAGAGAAAGTTTCTCAGGTCCACTGCAGTAATTTCTTTCTGCAACATTTTCCAAGCTGTATGTAGCCCTCTAGTCTGTTCCTAAATGCCATTACATACCACTGTTACAATGACAGCCACATAGAATTAAGCATGATCACGACCGAAGAGGCTGCTTTTATTCTACATTAGCAAGAACCATTATGTTTATGGTTCTGTTAGCTCTCTATAGCTCCAATCTCCCTAGCATGCAGCTAAAAAAGATGGCAGACTTGCTTATAACTCAGAGAGAGAAACCTATCCCATATACCACCAGAAAGGCCACCTGCTGCTTTCTCCTCAGCCCTGTGCCGAGGTCTTTGTCAGGCTGTGATACCAGGTCAGACTATGACCGCCATTTAATAGGTTGGGAGTAACTGCTAGGGTTGTAATTTATCATAGCTGACTGAAGTTGCCCGCTTCAGTTGTTGTGACTGTGATCCTTCTCCACACTGTGTCTTTTGCCTTAAGTCTCACGCCACATTACACAAACACCTCTTGTGCTCATTAATCACAGCTAAAGCTAAGAGAAAGGTGAATAGCCATAGTATTTTAATTTCTAAACAGGCACCACTGGCCTGCAGAGCTGTAATCTAGCGGTGCACTCTTCTCCAGTCCCCACAAAGCCTCTGCTCCATCTCCCAGTATCTGTGTCCGCCTCAGGGAAGAGACAGGCAGAGCTTTTGTTGTTTGACATGGGACTTAGCCTAGACAAAGGAAGGTGAAGTGCCCTCTCCTAGGCTAGGTCTGAAGTTTTTTGTTAACATCACTTGTACCTATGTTCATTTACAGGAGAGATCACATCCCCATTGCACAAGCAATCTAACAAGACAAGAACATCAGAGGACAAGGAATATATCGGGAATGAGCTGACTGAACTCATCAGTGGCAAATTCATGGAGGCACCAAGGCCAGTTCAGTGCTTTCCCTATTAGACCATACTTGTTCTCTAGTAATATCCTGACCATGAATGACTTAAACAAGAAGTGTGTTTTTCTATTTTCCAATTTACATTTTCTTCACATTGTTCTATTACCAGCAAAAAACACTCCATCTGAAGGACAATGGGATACGAAATGCCCTCTCTTTTAGGCCATTGCCCTCAGTTCATCTCAGGTCAGCAATGATTAAGCACCATCATCTGTTGATCCTTCTGTATATAACAGGTGTTCTTGATAATCTCCAAATTTCACAGAAGATAGGGATCTTCATTTCAAAGACAGTGACAAATACTAACTGATCCAGCTTCTGCCAGTATCAACAAAAATCACAAGACCTGAGCAAGCTAAGGAGACAGGCAGGCCCTCATCTAGAATGATGGTTGTCATAGAAAAAAATTAAGCCACTGCATGTTCCACATGACCAGAATATTCCACCCTATCTTAGCAGCATTCACCAATGAAAATTGTTTACATGAGAAGAGATTCCCCCTGGACCCAAGCAGCATCCCCAGAAAACATGATGGTCATTACTAGAATTCATGAGAAGCACATGTAACCAACCAGCCAAGATCCAGAGGCAAGGGTTTCATGTGCAAACTGTTTTGCAGGGATGAGGCAACAGGAGAAGGACTGCAGAACTCCAATAAACATAGAAACAGCAGCACTACCAGGGGTAGTATCCCATGCTAAAGCTGTAGAAAAGGGTTTTTACAATTAAGCATCAAAATTGTCAGTGATAACCCGAACCAGACAGTTTTTTGTTTGTTTTTCCACAGCAAAACAAAAATTTGGAACATTTTCTTTCAGGTTTATTTAGAATACAGTTCAAAATTGCTTTTGCCCAATATTCAGGGGCCATATGACATTTTGACTCTTCAGTTTATTGTTTATATAGGAAAATGACACTTCAAAGCATTTTATCTTTCTATAATTCCACATTTAAAAATGCTCCCCAAAATGGAAGGCTTCAGTATTTCAAAATTGCTGCTCTCCTAGTGTCCTGGTTTCAGCTGGGATAGAGTTAATTGTCTTCCCAGTAGCTGGTACGGTGCTATGTTTTGAGTTCAGTATGCAAAGAATGTTGATAACACTGATGTTTTCGGTTGTTGCTAAGTAGTGTTTAGTCTCGAGTCAAGGATTTTTCAGCTTCTCACGCCCAGCCAGCGAGAAAGCTCAAGGGGCACCAGAAGTTGACACAGGACACAGCCAGGGCAGCTGACCCAAACTGGCCAATGGGGTGTTCCATACCATGTGACATCACATCCAGTATAGATAGAAACTGGGGGGAGTGGGGGCGGGGGATCGCCGCTCGGGGACTAACTGGGTGTTGATTGGCGGGGGGTGACCAATTGCACTGTACATCATTTGTACATTCCAGTCCTTTTATTATTACTGTTGTCATTTTATTAGTGTTATCATTGTCATTATTAGTTTCTTCTTTTCTGTTCTATTAAACCGTTCTTATCTCAACCCACGAGTTTTACTTCTTTTATCGATTTCCTCCCTCATCCCACTGGGTGGGAGTGAGTGAGTGGCTGTGTGGTGCTTAGTTGCTGGCTGGGGTTAAACCACAACACCTAGTCACCTCTTACCTATGTAGGAGAACTCTCAGACCACAAAGGGCCTTACAAAGAAACGGAGGTTATGTGTAAAAGCTTACCTCAAAACTCACACTATGTGCTAAGCAAAGTTTCCACACTAGTTCAGTCAGTTCTCCTCCAGTGACTTCCCTCTCAGTTTCTTCCCTTTCATAGAGCATGCTGGTCACATACAGATCCTCGGAGTCCACTGGAAAGACATAAGGAAAAACCAGGTATCTGGTGGTTGCTGGCCATTTGCTATGGTTAACCCTAAATGCTAGGGGAAAGTTTCTCTCTGAGCCTTTATTTCTAATGTAAGAATCTCTCCAGTCTCAGTAAAGCCAAGGGATGAATATGAATGCCTGCAGTCAGGTTGAATTTAAGAACACAACAGAATAAAGGCCTAAAGACAAGTGTGACCTGAAAGAAAGAGTTAGAGAAACAAGACAAAGATACTAATGAAAAAAGTCCCACATTCCATCAATATGCCTCTTACAATGGCCCTGCTACTTTACATTCATCGCCCTTTCCAATTTTATCTAATCACTCTCTTGGTCCCACACTTCAACCTCCCAAAAACTCTACAGGAGATCTAGGTGCCAAGAAAAATAAATGGCTCAGCTCTTAGCCTCTTCCTGAGGAAGAATCTTGTCATCTTATGTCAGCATAACTATAAAAAAAAGAAAGTGTTCTGGAAATTTGGATTTTCCTTTTAAAAAAACCCACTATTTAGAAGCAGACAAAAAAATAATACAAAATGTTTCTCAACATTTAGAGCTCAACTTTAAAATCTTTCCTCAGGCAAGCCTCCCATTCACTTCAGTAAAATCATTCTCTTAAGGAGAAGCACACAGAGCAAAGAAGGAGCAAAAATTAAAACAGTTCTCAGACACGGCATGTCCTTAGTTCCGTTAGGACTTACTTATTTATTTACTTATTAGGACTTATTTAGACTTCATTTGTACACAAACCAGGAATTGTCCACAGACACAGGAAGGCTGATGCTCTGCGTACAGGGGGGCTAGGTATTTAAAGTAGGCAAAAAAGAGTTGGCCATTATTGAAATCTGTCCTTTGGAGACCCACCCAGCTTTGTTAGAGCAGGCCCCAACTCCCAAAGAAGGGACAGCTCTCAGTAGCCCAGCCTGTGAAAACATCTGCTTTCGTATCATTTCATACATTAAAGGAAATATGAGGTGCAAAGAGTTCTCGCAGGCAAGACACAGTCCCAAGATTTTTTGAGGAAATAAATTTACTCTATTTTAGCAGAAACATCATGTTACCTTTTTTGTACAGTGTCTCTGTTTCCACTTGAAGGAGTTTCAGCAAACACTGTGTCTGCGTCTTTGCCCCGCTGCCCTTCTGAGAGAACACTGTAACAACATTGGACTCAGTACATTTGGCCTCTGCCAGGACTCCAGCCTTAACACTCTGAACACATTCCAGTTTGGAGGACAGGATCTGCTGCTCAGACTGAGAAGAACAGATACTTCAGGTAAAGTCTTGATCATCTGTGTCAGCCTGCCCAATCCTTTCTCTCCCAACTTCCCAGAGGATTCCAGTTCTGTGATACAGTGTGAAGTCTCTTGTCTAGACCTTTGACAGAGCCCAGCCTGTGGAGGTTAATACGCTCTTTATTTTTAGTCTAATTTTTTCGTCACTGAAATGCAACTGCTACTAACTTTGAGTGACAAATGGTCTCAATTTATTTCAGTTCACAAAGCATCAGTGTTAAGCAGATCTTTTTGGTCAGCAGAGTTGAGAAAAGCAAAAGGCTGGTAAATTATGACTAGCTAGTACAATACAAGAAAGAAGTAATATTCACCTAATAAAAACAGCACAAGATACAAACATGGACTGTATTTGCCATGAACAGTGGAAAGCTGGAAGTCTGGCTCTTAGAAAAGCTTCTATCCTTCCAAAGTTTTCTGCAAATAATAACTTTCTTTGCATAATGTATTTTTCTTATCCACATCTCTTATTCCTCTCTTTTACACTCTACTTTCAGTTTACCGCTATAACATATTTTAATGACAGAGTTTAATCCAGGCACCTAACAACCCCTTGCATTTATACTATAATGTTCATCAACTACAATGCAAATCTGCATTAGAAAGAAATTCTGTGAATAACAGGCATTACAGGGACAATAACATTCATCATTTTTTTTGCTAATGATTCAAGTTTGGGCAGACACACACAAATACAATTGAGCATAAATGACTACTCAAAAATGTTTTCTTTTACATTATGACTCTTCAAAGAAATTAAAAGGCCCTGTGGAAGAATCAGTGTCATTCCCCAACACTTACCGACGTATGAGGTAGAACAACAGACTGCACAGAAGTAAAACCAGAATACCGATGAGAGCAGAGGTTTAAGTCCCTTGTCTTGACAAGAATAGGACCTTTTCGCTGATACCTGGTTGGGCATATTCCCAGAACATCCACCTAGTAACAAACGTACAGTGTTGAATCACACATGCGCACATACAATACAAGCAGGTATTATGGGCTATTACAATTAATTTTAATAATTGCTTTGTTGTAATAACAATGCAACAGAAATCTAAATTCTCCCTTGCAGGACACTGGCTTCTCCACAAAACCCATGAAAAGGCAAATTATTTTAAAGACCTTGGTCAAAATTTATAATAGCCAGAGTTTGTTGATTTGTTTAACTTCACTGTGTTATTACGAATCAGACCATTTACAGACATATGCTTTTTCATTTAATATTTTGTGGGTTTGCAGGGAAGCATTAATTCAGAAGAGCCTTTCTACTTAGAAGAAATGTAATAACATATGGGTGTCCCAAGCCTTATTGCAGAACATCTATTTAAGCACTGATATGTAGCAATAGCATGAGAATGAGGTAGTGCACATCATGCTGAAGGTCAATCTAGAGACTGCTCTTCACAACAGTAGTGCAGCCATTGAGGTATCTCAGCTGCACTCACGCAAACACACAGGTGACAGTGTGGTACTCTGGACTATTATTTCAGTGTAACACAGCAGAACTTGAGCTTAAGTATTAGGAAAAAAATTAAAAATTGCAAAGAGCTCTGAGAAGCCTCATCTTAAAGCCTCCTGAAATTAATGAAAAAAGTCACGATGAATAATCATGAATAATGAATATTGTATTTTCCCCAGGGAACAGGTAAAGCACAAGCCCTGGTGTTACAACTCCTCAGAGAACTCTGTAATACACAGCTTTTCCTCAGGTAACCAAGTAGGGGATTCCAACCCTCAACAAGAACGCAAATTATAGATAATTTCATAACATCCACTACAAAAAGCAATCAGATGACCACCACTGGCTGACCAGTCACCAAGTGGCAAAAACCTTTAGTTATTTACAAAGGGAGTAGACTTAAGGTGTGCAAGGGCTAACAGCCACCCTAGAGCACGACTCTACCAACGGTCTCACCTCTTCAATGACTGCACTAGCAGTGGATGCTTGTGACGTCTGCAGGACACTGAGAATGCCTCGCTTTATGTTCAGTGCCCAGGTCTGTTCACTCCTCACAGGACAGAGCTTCAGAACTTTCCCATCATGGAAAGAAAAACGAAGAGGATGCTGTTCTAGTATTTTCCTGCAATAAAATAGTTTATAGTTTCTTGCTTCGAACAGTGGCTGCAAGTCGGTTTATGACATTAGACTCAGATTTTCTGAACAGAGCTGTTCTTCCACAATGGGTCTGTCTTATTCTGTATCTCCATTCTTTATATCAAGTTTCTATTCTTCACGAATTCACCCTGACCCTAAGAGCCCTTAAAAAACCAAACAAATGAAAAAAACCTAAGATAATCACAGCATCTTCGACATAACTGTAACACTTAATTAAGTCAACTCCTGCTAAATTCTTTACAAGTAATTAGACTTAATGGCAACAATTCTTGTTTAATGTAAGAGAGAAATTCCATTTTATGATTCAGGGTGCCTTTAGCATTGGTAAGCATGTCTTAACTGCATGTACTCTTTATCGTTCCTCTTCAGCTGTGATACACACAAGAACAACTGCTTTCCAATCAACCCACATCTTCCTGCTCTACTAGGTGTACATACTTGGGCTCTATCCCAAAGTTGTCCCCCCAGTCCCTGTTGTCAGTCTACTCCCTGATTGCTTTTGCTATCTCAGATTGAGAGTACAGTGTTTTCTACTTTTGCAAGAGATCACTTTTTAACATTGATTTTCACTCCTAATATAATGTACTTTAATCGTGTATTTCCCATCTAAATGGGGAAAAATAAGCTATCCAAAGGAAGAATTATACGGTAGCCCAATGGTCAGGTCCCATACAGGGAGATACACAGTTCATCTGCACATTAACTGTGGAGCTAACTGTTCATCTAATCAACCAGGTCACAAAGACATTGTAAGAGGAAAACTTTTAATGCACCAACACCTGAATAAAGTCTTTCCAGGAGAAGAGATTCTGTACATGCGATAAAGGTTTCTGAACTCCTAGGCAACTGTGGCTGCATTTGCTACTATCTGTGGAAATTACATGCATGTTCAGAGGACAAGCTAGACCACTGTATATTCACAACAGGCTGAGGGAAATGCTAATAAGATTCACTCATCTGAATAATTATTTTCAATAGCCAAGCTTCACTGAATGCTTTCTTTGCTACCTCTATTTTTTGGCTTCTCTGCAAAGAAAAAAAGACACAACTGCTCTTACCTCTATGAAAATCCTACAAATAACTTCACAGAAGATGTGCCTGTAGTCTGATTTGAACTCTGATACCGCTACCCATACTGTGGAACACAAAGCTATTCCTGAGGAATATAAAAAGCAATGCTTTTACTCCAAACCTGGTCTTTTTGACCCTTTGAATTGAGCCAATTAACTCAGTTCTCAGCATCATTTAAAGGCTGAGAATCCAAGTAGCAGGACAAAGAGGAGGATTACAAGGCTGAGCTTAATCAGACAACAGAACTGCTTTTTTTGATGCCACAAGAAGCATCAGCTCCCTGGGAAAATACCAGACCTCTAGTTTGAAGAGACCTTTTTGTACAGGCATCTTCACTAGAGTCTATACCTCTGCAAGTCAGAGGGAAACACACTGACATATGTTATGAATGAGCTACTAAAAACAAAAACATAAAAGGAAGAAAATTACATTAGACAAATAAATGCAGTTTAAATATCCTGGAAGAAAAAAAACAATGTTTTGCAACATGAGAATTCTCCAAACCAAGAACTTCTGAAATGTACTTCAAAACTCAAGAGTCTGTACAAGTAACAATCGCAACTCAGAGAACTAGTGAGCGATCCATACACGCTGCTAGCCAGCTAGAGGCCTGATAATTTGTACCCAGAGTAATTTTAATTGTCCACTCTCTGAAAGTTTTTACAAAGGGATGAAAATTAGGTTCAAAAAAATCTTTTTGGACCAAATGCCTCCAATTTTGTTGATGGTGCTCATATCTTGATCCTTGCTTTAAAAAAAAAACAACAACAAAACACACCAAGACAAAACCCAACTAAAATTAAACAGAGGATGAAACAGAGTGAACAACGTCCATTCAAGCTGCTGTTAAGCCATATAGCTTCAAAAAACCAAGAACTAGACCAGATTAGAAGTTTTTCTACCTTAGACTGTCCATTTCCTTCAGAGGCTCCTCTCTGGATGCAAAACTTTTCTTAATCTGTACATCTTGCACCTAGGAGCAAAGATTATAGAGCAACAAGTATCATTGTCAATAGGAACTTGTGGAATTTGTGACATAAGGGTATCTGCATAGAATGTCACACATAGACTATGAAGAAAGGCTCAGTGTTGCAAGCAACACAACTCCAATAGCCACATCTTCAGGTTGCATTTCTGAGATGGTTTCCAGAAATTTCTTCTACAAAGAAGTTTCACTCACTATTAAATACATTTTATATGGCACTATTATATCCCTTTCATTTTCAAGCCAGAAGCAATCACCTACTCCGGGGTAAAGTCAGAGCCAGCATAAACCTAAGTCCTTTCTACTCCAGTTGAGAAGCAAAATGTGTACCCATCTCAGTTGACTCCTGAGACTATCCCTGGTAAAGTTCTCAGTATTCAGTAGCCATTTCATAGCTTACTTTCACTGAATTCAGAGGAAAAAACGCACTTAAGTTCATTACGGAATTTCCTAAAGTACTTGCAATTTGGCTGGTTGTGGTAAGAAGAACTGTTCTTAAATGGTAGATCAAAAATGGTGGCTCTCTGCCTCATTTTAAGTACAGCACAGATTGCAACTGTTAGTAATCTTTTTTCTTAATATCTTCTACTTTTTTATAAAGACAAGCATTCAAATACATATTGGTTTGCTTATCTTAGGAGGTCTCAAATTAAGATAAAGAGCTGGAAGTTGGGGAATCCAGCCACTGATATTGCAAGGCAGAAGAGAGTGATTCAGTCTGAAGACAGCACCCAAATTCTCATTTTTCATGTAAAATCACAGGACCACCAACCAGTTAATTTTATCCATATGGCCATGTTAGGACAGGGATAACTACCCTATTCTTCATTGGCCTCATGTATATGTGTATATAGTACACACATGTCAACCCCCCACAGAACCCATGAATTATCCCCTCTGTTAACCAGAAGGAAAACCAAGGCAGATGAGAGACGTTTATTTTCCATGCTTCTGCTAAAGCACTGTAGTTCTCAAACTGGCCTACCACAGGGCTCACCCCAGGAAAAAGTCTGTAATTTGAAACTGGCCTGTTGCTCTTGTCACTGACAGAAAGATCTCCTGTCAAGATCAATGGAGCACTACAAGACTGAATTTTACACTAGGCTAGGAACAGCACCAATCCAGCACATCATATACGTTTCTCAAGTTCTCTTTAAAACGCTTGCTACTTTTAAATTACTGCTACAGATATGAAAGTGCTTAAAAATAAACCAAGTTCCTTTAAAGGGGACTAGCTTCATCTCCAGTTCTGCACTTCATGTGACAAAGCAGTGAAACTGCCATGCCACTTAGTAAAGAAAATAATTATTTGTTTAATCTGTCATTTAAAACTGGCAAATACTTAATTTGAAGCCATGTTGCATCAAAGCAATTCTGCAACTCTAATTATGAGATCCAGAATTGAACTGGCTTTTAATTACAAGAAAAACAAATGTTTTAAATGTAGCAGTAATCCCAAAGAAAGATACAGTCTCATGTCAACTCATCCCAATCACTCCAACAATTATGACAATACTCACTTTCAAAACCATCTGGCAATTCCCCAGTACCTCAATGATCACTGTGCTCTCCAGAGAGATGCCACTGCTTTTGTAAATACTTCCCTGCAGGAATGTGTTTGTGACTGCTGAATACTTGTAGCTGTACCTAGCTCTTTTGGGGGAGTACGATGCACTGTGTCCTAGAAACAAACAAAAAATGTTTTTTTAAATCTATTAGGCTTGCCCCTCCCCCTATTTTTTTTTTCTACTTTTTAATCTTTTGGCCACTGTAATCAGCTAAACAAGGGGCTGAATATTGAGAATGTTCCCTTCCCGCTTGGACTTACCATTGAAAGAACTGGGTTTCTGAAAGCACCCTGCCTGCTAACGATAACTCCTGTATGGAAGGTAAAAAGAATACCCCTCGCTCCTATGCACATAACCTCACAATTTCCATCGAGGCAGGAATCTAATTTCCAAGAGCAGAAAAGGAGGGCAATGCATTTACAGCATGATGCTCTTTCGATACCTTTCAGAGAGCAGCAAAGCAGGACCTTTGCAACAGCAAGATGAAAAGGATCTGCTGATGCATTCAGTGCTTTTCATGCCCATGCTATGAGCTACACATATGCAGACAAACTAAATTACATGTTTTTTAAGTAAAGAACTCTCGTTCTGAAAGCCTGCCTGAAAAAAATCAGGCTGAGGAAGAGAAAGCATGGGAAGACAAGGATTATTTGTATTTGTATGAAGACATTGTAATGACCTGGCAAGTGTCCATGGGTAGCACTGTCTTCTAGTGAATACAATGTCAGACACCCTTATGTGTGCTACATGGTCTCTGTATTCCTCTAATCAAAGGAGATTCTCTTCTAGACCAGGTGACAAGAATTAACTCTGAAAGGATGAGAAGATCAGAGTCATAATACCTTCAATGCCATGTGTTTTGGTGACTGTGGTGTCTGAGATTGTAACAAATACAGTATTTCTAAATGGTAAGAAATCATGGTATGACCTTAACTGGGACCACTGAGGTGCAGAAGAGGGAAAATTCAAAGAAAATACTCTCCCTTCCCTCAGATGAAGAAGACAACACCTAGGAAAAATGACCACTGCAGCTCCCATAATGCAGAGCTGCTTTTTCTCTGCCTCACAGTGGCACTGCAATACTCGAGCACTTTCAATGACAAAGCCACACAGTGATGAAGTAATGTTGAACAAATGAAGGGTCTCTGAGCCGCACTCTCTGAGTAGGTAGCTAAGAGGCCAGGATAAGATCTCCTTGGGACCAGAACATCCATGTGCTCCCCTTGCTGTTACACTGAAAAGCACTTTTGCACATTGAAGTACTTGCTGGCAATGTAAATGAGAAGCATAAGTTACAAACTGCACCTCAAGCCATTCAACCAAACCTTTCCATGTCAGTTCAATATGCTGTCTTCCCATCTCTTCCTTTACAAAATGTAAGTTTTGTGCCTGCCTACTGAAGAAGTCATCTTTCTTCATGCCTGTTTCAGTATGAAAGGAGCTAACACTGGAAAAAAAAACACTCATACACGGCTGGGTTTTGTCCTGCACTGGTTTAGTAGTTTGCTTAGCTCTCATGTCCGTGAGTTTTCTGAGTTCACAGAATGCGAACTTTTGGCAGGTCTGGGCCTGGTAAAGCTTCGTGGAACTTCCCTGCTACTTCCATGAATGCTGATCACTCAGACATAAGTATCATTCTTCTAAGAACACAACACCCCTGCTGAACAGAAGGAAGTTTTCAAATTCCTCCTTCCTTATCACATACAAGGCCTGAACACAGTCTTGTTTTACTCACCTACACAGTCTGCAAAACAGGAAGCTCTGTAACTTAAACTCTCCAAGGATCCTGCAACAACAGGTAAGATAATAGAAAAGCACTGAAAATTTGTGTGTAGCTCAGGACAGATGTGCTGCTTTTCAATTACAATGAAATAACTGAAACCAAAGCATGGCCCTCAAGAAAAAAAAAAAAAATCCATGAGAGTTTTGCTACCAAGTATACAGGGACAAGACTTTGCTTTTGCCCCTTTCCACACATCTGTACCACACAAGCACATACATAAAGGAATAACATGCCTTAGTGTATTTGAGGTAGGTATGGAAATGCAGCAATACCATGGATTACCAAGCAAATTAAAAAAAGGCGTTCTTAATCCAAGAAAGAAATACAGGTTTTGTATACCACACTTCTTCACATCCACAGGCTTTTAACTTTATTGCAGTTAGGGAAAATTTCTACTTAGCTAAGATTTTATTGCACATGGCCATTCCAGAAATCATAACTATCTTTTAAAGCAGATTAAGAACAAGCTTTACTGCCCAAGAAAAACTTTTCCAGCACCAGCACACTAAGGAACACTTAAACATCACAACTCAAGGGTGGCAGTTGGTTAAGACATCCTTTAAAACTGGAGAGCCTGTTCTCCAACATGACTTTCATTCAGACTTTGACTGGGAGGGCAGCGAATTCACAGGGATGCAGAACATGCTTATACCACACAGCTGGAATTGCTTGAGATTCACATTGGCATGAACAGGGGAAACAGTTAGGGCTGCTACGTACAGAACCTCCATTCCTTCACTCTGTGTGCACACATCTGCACAGTAAACTAGTAAGACTCTCATTCTAATGCTGACACTGAATGACCTTAAATAAGCCTAGCAAAATTACATCCATCAGTTATTGCAAGCGCTACTAAACAATATAAAAGTCCAGGATGAACTGGAAGAAAAATTCTGTTTTCACAGAGAAGAAAAGCAACAGGGAAATTTTTAGGGTATCTATCTCCTGTGCATCACTGTGATTGCCTCTACAAGCATGATGACTGGGCACTCAAAGGGCTAGACTGATATAAGTCATGCTTCAGCACATGAAATAAAATCATTGCAGATTGCTTTCACCCCTGGGAAATACACAGGTACTATGTTGAAGACTGGCTGTCCTGGCCTACTGGTCCCTATCTCTTGAGAACTTCTGTGATAAACTTGAGCTGAATTGCAGGAAGTTTGAGAGAGGAGCCGCATCATGGACACATGTCAGATGCAGGTTCCAGGACCTAATCCTGCACTTCTAACATTCCCCAGCACTCAACTCAGCAAGTTACCCCAAGTCCTAGACATCGATAGGAACGTGCACGTAGCAAAATCAGATCGCAGCTGCTCATATATACTGCAGTGATAGACAAGGAACAGCCAAAATCAAATATGTGATCCTGCTGCACTTCAATACATGGCATTTGTATGTACCATAGTGAATGAAAACGCTACTTTATTAATAAACCATGTATTACATTATTTAATTAGTATTAAAAACATTCAGCCCTAACTTGCCATTATTGATAAATCTTTCTTAAAAATAACTCGCACAAGAAGTTCAATAGTAAGTATAATCGCCCCCAACCTCTACGCTATGCTGTATGCTAATGAACCTCCCTGTTAAGCGGTAACTAACATCCCTGTGTTGCTCAGCTTTGTCTTCCACTGGAGACAGAAGTTAAAAGAGCCTCTTTATTCTGGTTCTCTGCTTTTGGATGTTTTATATATGCTATATGCCTGCAGGAAATGCTCTTGTCAAACTACAACATTTAAAAATCCACATTTATACTATTTATTTGAACCATATTTTCCCTTCTCTTAATCCCTTTTTTGAAATGTCAAAATTATTGGCAGGAGGAAAGAGGGGAATTCACTAGTTTTGGAACAAAAATAAGAGGTCTTTGCTTCAGCACCCACTCAAGCTTATATACATTTTTATTCCCAAGCTAAAATTTAAGTTTCTGGAGAGTAGAATTACATTTTTCTTTAAAAGGTCTTAACCCCACATTTATATTTTCCTCCCAACAAATGCTCCTTTTTATTTTGCAGAATTAAGTGTCTGTATGGAACTTCAGATTTTACCTTTAAAATGTATGAATAACACGTTATTTTCAAACTTAGTCTAGTGCTACAGATACCTGCAAAACTAGAAAACTTTCTAGCATAGAGACACCAGGTCGTGTAACATACGAGAATTATCACTCAACTATTAATTTTTATAAATATGCCTATCTATACATAAACCATATGCATTAACTTTAACATTCCAAACACACTGCATTTGGAAAGAAAGAAATACACTTCTCAGTTTCCATGGGAGAAAAAAAAAAATTATCCCTAAGTATCTAGTGGATCAGGTAAGAAAAGGGCTATCTAGCTCACCCTTTTCTTTTAAACAGTGGAAAAAGGTAGCGTTAAATTAATGGCTTTTAACCAAGAAATCAGTACAACTTATTCAAGAACCTTAAAATAAATACGGTAAGACAAACTTGGAAAATTAATCTCTCTTATGTAGCATCAGATTTTTAAGATGTTGAGCACACCTCTCCAGGACCACATTTAAGAGCTCTTTCAGTTCCTGTGTGAATGCTGTGCTCAGAATTTTTAAACGTGCTTATCACAGACAGATAGTGTGGTAGGCTGAGCACCCTGGACAATCAGGCACTTTGTTAACTTTTTTAAGGTGCCTAAATTTAGAGTTTCTGCTCCTTCCTTTGTTCTTTTTAAATTTTAAAATTTCTTCCAGAATTTATTTTGGTTCCAGAAACAGCATGCACTTATGTCTTTCCAGTTGACAAGAGTAACGAAGGACCACATCACTGACATTTCATGATCTATTCATGCTTTTCAGAATCCTTTATCTGCCAAATACCAAAGTGAGCATGATTTTAGAACATGATACTAACATGTTATTTTCAGGTGAGATAAGGAATTGACTAGCACAATCTACCTGTTTCTGTTGCTTTCCCTAGTAATGCTGAAGATGCCCTATTTAACTGCACTCCTTTACAGGTGGGGTGCCCTCCCACCTGCCCAGTACCACCCAGAGAGCTCACTAAGGCAAATCGCTACACTACACTGAAAATCAAGACAAAGCTGCTACAAGAATTACCGCAAACCTACAAGTTGTAACATAATTTACAGCACCTCAGAAGTTTTGCTAGTGAGATCATTCATTAGCAGAAGTATTTTGCATTGAGAGAGATCAATCTTAGCAGAGGAAAAAGTTTCTTCTACTTACTCCCTGAAGCTCCTGCCACAACACCACAGAGCAAAATGACGGTGTGCAGCCCCATGGCCATCGAAATCACCTCCTCAGCCCGCAAGCTGACAAAACCACATCAGTTCTCCTCTCAAAGGCACCTCTGAGCCAGGCAGTGAAAGAAAATTTCCTTCACAAAGCAGGGGCTCACTATTTCAACTCCGCTCTTCCAGCCAGAGGAGGGGCTTTGGCAGGGCAGCCTGCAGAGGGGAGGGTGCGCGTGTGTAGTAAAGGGGAGAGATAGACACACACAAACATTTATCCAATCTCCAACAGCATTTCAGCCTTTTTGCAAAAAAAGAGAGAGAAATTAACCTATTAGAAATGCCACAAAACTGCAAGGAAAAGAAATTAAGTATACCGCACGACAACATATCAAATGCTCAGAACAATCCTATGCAGTAAGTTTAAAACAAATAAATAAATTTTAAAATCACCCTAGCAATCATTCCCTGCAAAAGCACACAGGATGAAAGCAAAAGCTTTGGTGCTGAAGGAAAGGTGCTACCACCGGGAGCAAGAAAGTTCACAGGAGGCAGATCATCCCTTCAACCAAATTCTCAAACCTAAGATGGATGAAATCTTGCATAAATACACAAAATCACTAAAATACAGTCCTTCTGGTAGCAATCAGGTTTTTACAACATGAGAGACATAGGTCTTCCAGGGTTCACTGAACTTGTGATAAAGACCTTCCACTCCTGGAATGGGCGATTCACCATCTACCTCCTGTTCTACTGACTCATTCTTCTAGAACTGGGGTTCTCCTCATACACCTGCCCTGGCAGCCTATGGCCCTGTTTACTCGTCACACGTAACAGGACTGATGATCACCTATGCCACAGAGATGTTGCCAAAACTCGGTTACGCTTGCACGCCAAGACCTTCTGAAGGAAGCTGCTGTGGACAGGCAAAGATTTATTTTCTCCTGCTGCCATGTCTTAATCTGCTGTAAGCCTCTCTGGTTTACCTTGAGCTACTGTTTACTTCAAACAAGATTCACAAGTAGAAATCATAGACAACAATCCCAGTCACCAGTACTACTCTCCCCCCACCAAACTTGTGTTGTCATAGCCTCTTGCCTGAACTTACTTTCTCCATCAGGTAACATCTGCTCAGTTCAAAATGCTTACGAATTTTACTTAAAGGGAAAGCAACTTCTCACATGTGTTTTGCACAGATGAATGACCAAAGATGATGAGAGAGAGCAAGTCTAAAGAGTTAATAAAATATTCCACGCCAAAAGCTGGGCCCTTTTATCAAAATCACAGATCTACCAAATACCAACCTCAGGGACAGCTCAGGTCTGAAACTGACCCCAAAACCTTACAGATTTCATACAGCAGCTCAGATTTCCTATGATCAACCCAAAGTGGTAAATCAGAAAGCCTTCTTCCATCTCCATGGTGATTTTTCAGAATATTCTAATTCTGAAACTGCTTCAGAGATTTCATTGTGGAAATCTTGCAACTTGGTGGGTTTGCTATTTTTAGTCTGCTGAGTTCCTCAGTCTTGTATTTGTTCTAATTTTTAATTTTAAGATTACAGCTCAGCTGGGTATAGTACATGCTCCGTACATTATCCTGCAGTCATTCAGCTCTTGGTGTACTATCAGCAATATGGATAGAAGCAGGTAAGTTAATTGCTGGGCACGAACATAAAACCATGATGAATTTACCAGAAAATGGCTATACTGTGACAATTCTTTTCTTGAGTCACTACTATTGCCCGTTCTCCACAGCAGCCTGAATTTTAACTGTTTATATAGTAAGATTTTTCAACATATTTCACAAAGCTATTGCAAAATAACTTAAAAAGCATAAAACTTATACTGAAGTCAGTGGGAATACCAAAATTGGAATTATAGGGAATTTTTGCCTTATCATGACTCTCTTAAGAATGGCATAGCCCACAAGCAGTGTTTGTGTACTGAGCATTTGTAGCCCTACCCTCATATTAATGAATTTGACACTTTATAGTAAGTTTTCCACTTAGTTTATGTTAACTTCATGTATGGCACCAATGTCTACAGTCAGCAGAGTACATAATTAGGTGCTTAATTTTAAGCATAAGCACACCCCCAAAATTAAGCATGTGCTCAAATCTAAATGCTTTCTTGGAACAAGGCCGTTTTATTAGTCATTCCATCCCCTACTCAACACCAGAAGGTCTTTCAGAAACCTTTGTTCTCTAAATAGCTAGATTTCCCTTAGAGCACTGTGGGTGGGTTTCTAATTAAAAAAAAAAAAAAAAGAAAGAAAATTACTCAAATTTTCTCTTTCAGCTACATTTTTAATTTTCACCAAGAATAGTTCAAGGAGGTCACAGGCAACTCCTTTCCCACAAGGAAGCAGGCTTTAGAAAAGAGGGTGGCCAGGAAAGGTTGTATGAACTACACTAAGAGACAGTCTGTCCCTGAAACAAAGCAGGGTCTAACCAGATGGACCAAAAATGTCAGACCTGCTCCCAAGACTGCAGCACACTACATTTTGAGATGCCTCAGAACTACTGTGCACGTGCAGACCAACAACACTGCATGTATGTCTTATCACGTGGCAAGACAGCCTCCTTCTAAGAGGTTACACAATAGGCATCCCACTAAGAAAACTGGACTCTTCTGATGATCTTTTTGACAAGGTACCATAGTTTAGTAAAAGATGTGTTTTATAGCTTTAAGACAAATACTTAGCTACAGATATTAGCATTTCAGCCACAATTTCTAGAGTAACAACATTTTCATGCAAAAGTGTCATAGAAGAAGTGTTCTCTTTAAGGATTAGAAAACAAACTTTCACAAAAGATTCAAGAGGGATCAACAATTCATTTGTAAATGTTGGGTATTAATGCGGTTATATATATACTTCATTTTAAGCACAAGCAATTTTGTTAAATGTAAAGGATCAAATAAATGCAGACACACGACACATGGTTAAGCGGAGTTAAGAGAAATTCAAATGTCTGTAAGAACAGAGCAGCAGCTATTCAGAAGCTTCCATCAGAAGTCACCAGTGATCCTGGTATCTGAGACCTGGACAGGTCTGGCCTCAGACATCAGCACAACCAGCCTGTAGCTGAGTCTCTCCCTTTCGAATACCAAAATGAGGATCAACAGCCAGTAATAACACTGTGAGCCACAGACTGAATATTGACATAGAAGATCCATGCAAAATAACAGATACAGTAGATTTCTGTGTAAAAACATTACTTACAGAATGGGTTACGTGTCAACATATTAAGAGACTCACAGGTCAAGCTCACATTCAAACTCCGATTCAGGCTGTGACCCCAAGGTATGTTATATATGGAAAGGACTGCTGGAACAGAGAAGCTTGAGGATTTCGGCTTTGGCTTGGAGAAAGAAAACAGAATTCAATGTTATCTAGTAACTGCATCTGATTTTCTATTTTGTTCAAATTGTCTTGCTCTGCTTTTTCAGTTACAGCTGTAAATCACACTTTCCAAAATAATCAAATTTGCAATTTAATTTCAAGTTTTAGCTTTGTGGCTTCCTATTTCTTAGGGAAGAAACTATGTTAATAAAAAGGAAGAAAAATATCTTATTGTAGGCACACGAGCACACTCAAGAATATATAAATCTCAGCTTGCTTGCATCTTGATGATTTCATATACCAAAGAACAATGATATTCACAAACAAAACTCCAGGGCTTTCTTGTAAAAAATATTTCAAAAAGCTTTTTTCAGTATATCACAGATTTTGGGCCCTTCGTACTGAAACTTCTGAGTTAGGAATTAAATGCCTGATTTACAGTAGACGCTTAAATGCACGCTCAAGCCAGATCTTTCAGATAAAACACGGCGTAACATTAGCATCCTATGTACTTGACTAACTTCGCTCACGTGAGTGGGGTGGTAAGTGCAGGATGCGGTCCAAGACTGAAATACAAGCTCAACATCTTTTAAGCATTTTTTTCCTACCTCCCCCCAAAAGAGTTTTTTCTAAAGAATCAAAACACCACCCCCAAAACAGGCAGACAAAGAACCTCCTAAAGAGAAATTTCCACCATGGTGCTGTCCTAGATTATCTTAAAACATGGAAGAAAATCAGGCACGTGCGCTGCAAACGCGCTTGTTCGGTGACACGCAGGAGACCAGCACCGGCAGTAAGTCTGCCAAAAGTATTCATCCGTTTTACTGGACGTTGCCCTCAAGCTTGCAATATGAATTTAATGAAAAATACCACCTAGCACACAACGCAGCAAGGACGTCCGTGGACACCTACGAACTCCACGCTACTACTACCAAGAACACCTGAGCTTTAACAAACCGGTAAGCCCGTTCCGTAAAGACCCCGCAGGTTCTTTTAAACTAGCGCTGTTACAGAACTCACGTTTAACCCTAACAGCCAAAAGCAGGCGGGAAGCGCCCTCGGCCTCGGCTGCAGCCTTGCCCCCCTCAGCGCCGACACCCGCG